CAATGTCAGTGTCACAGCGGCATCGGCAGCCGACACCGTTCTCCTTGACCTGGTCAGGGGCTGCCCAATACTCGTCCTCCTCGATGCGTTTCTTTTCATCATCGGTAGTCTTCTCGAGGTATGGGATACGGGGCAATTGACGGGCCGGGGCGTTGGCTGGGCAATGTTGGATTGTGGTGTGGCGGTAACCAAAGTCACGGAAGTAATGAATATCACTAGGCGCAAGAAGGGCACCGGCGGCGAGAGAGTGGATAGGCGCATCACCCCACTAGAATAATTAGTATCAACTTCGACCCGTGTTCAAAGACATGAAATGGACATACCCGTTCGTTCCAAAATCCACCACTCCTGTCCATCATGGTAAAGAAGTCCTCGTATTCCTTGCTGCGGAACCAATCCAGACGGGCAATCTCGAAGTTACTCCAGAAATGGCACATGTTGTAGCTCTCGCCTTCCATGGCCTCTGGGTCGACGTCCTTCAGGTTGTTGTCACCGGGATCGGTTTGGAGAATTTCATCGGGTAGCTTGTCCTGCTGCTTCTCTTCCGGAGGAGTTTCGGGTTTGGGCTCCAAGAACATCTCCCAAAGACCCTTGGACTTGAGGTTGTTCTTGCGCTTGTAAGCAGCCGCGTACCGGAAGATGTTCGGAACCGTCTCTCGAAGCTCCTTCACTGCAATAGTGAAACCGTAGGTCTTGTTCGCCTTGGCCATCTCGAGGAAGGGATCACTAGTCGTAGGTGAGCAACTTGACATGGATCACATCGAATAGGTAGGTGTCTTACTAGGTGATGTCACAGAAGTACTTGATCTCGGGCTCCAAACGCCAGTACCACTCGTACTTCATCAGGAGAGGGTGCTTGTAGAAGTGTCTGTCACAAAGTTAGCACCATCACCCGAATCCCAAGATTCATTGAATACTGACCCCGAGTAGAATCGGCACATGTGGTGATAACTTTCCATGCCACCATACATGATAGCGGCATCACCTTGCTTCCGAATGCCTTCCTTGGCAACCTCATGGTCTACCCAATCAGGGAAGCCCCACATGCTGTTATCGATCTTGCCGAACTCCACGGGTGCACTGGTGTAGTTCTTAACCGTGGCAATGAACTCGTCGTCGAAGTCACCGTCGTTCAAGAAGACATAGGGGTAGTGCCACCAGCGGTTGAAGTGCCGCTCAATCGATTTGAGAGATTGAATGACACCGTCCAACTCCTTATTTCTGGCAAGGACGACGAAGGCGGCATTGGCGCGGGGAGCCTTTTCGATTTCCGGAGGATCGATAGGCATACAGCCCGTAGCGAATACTTTATCATACTTTTCGCTGATTTTCCTGTAGACACAACAAGTTAACCACCGCACGAGCATTCACAGATGGAGACAGACGAACCGGATAGAAGGCGGAGTGCCCGCTGGAATTAAGATCCCCCCGGGCGACGAAGGATGACGGACGAAAAGAAGCAGAATAAGAACTATTACAAGGCATGGAAATAGTAAAACAAAGCCCAGGGGTATAGAAATAGACGAGTTGCCCTTCAGACGGATCCGCCGCCGGAAGAAGGCGAACCTGGGATGGAGGTGGCCTTTCTCATGGGAGGCATCTTCCAACGGCAGACTCGGCGCGCTGGGCAGCCGTTTCGTGATTCGTTGAATGAAGCTCATGGGTGCGATTGTGGGAAGACCCCCAGTTATGGTCGAGGTCAGCTGTCAGACCCAAGCGACAGCACGGGGCCGTTAAGGAGATCGTGGAGAAATCGTGTCGGGTCAGAGACAAGGGGTGAAGTCTCTTGACAAGGGTAGGACACACGGCGAAATAAAAGTCGGGCCGTTTGGATCACGGGACGATCCGTAGAGAGGATCGTGATCTCGAGTGAAAATGGAGAAAATGACAGCGAAACGAGTGGCCGGAGGAATGCCTCCTTTCCTCCCCCAACTTTCTCAGTCCCGTAGACAAATGGGGAGAGCGCTGGGAGCAACGCAAACAACTGTGAACAGAGTACACAGGAAAGGGGTTGACATCAACAAGGATGGATGGAGAAGGGAAAGATGGGAGAGTTGGGGATGGGGATGGGTTGGAACTTTGCCAAGACCAGGGAGGCGCAAGCGTGGCCGTCACCCAAAGACGGTCTTTTTGCCCCTGGGTAGTGCGTGGTGGCGCTGGCCCAGGTACGGTAAGGTAATCTATTTCGCTCCTTTGCCTCTTGAAGTATGGAAATTTAGATCTACATGTTGAGAAGGAGAATAATTCCGTTTTAAAATGTTGTTTTATTCGATTACGCTTATCATGGTTTTGGTGGCGCTATGTGGTATATGGGAGAGCTGTGGTTACGGAGCATAGGGAATAACTTAAACGTTATAATATAGCCCCAGTTTGTGCGATTTCGATCCCATCCATCAGAATATGCTTGTGTTTGTGTACTCCTACTGTATGTACAACTGTGCCTGGATAAAAAAAACGTAGTCCACTTGGTCCACCGAGTCTGCCCTATGCGGTACACGCAACCCTTATACCAACCAGTGCATTGGTGTGGCAAGCAACCGTTTTATACACATTTTACTCCATAAATTACCATTAATAGCGTATATATGAGTGGGCAAAGACGTCTTCCCCCAGACCTTACACGACTCTGAATTGTACTCTGTAGTGTATGTGGATCGAAATGTTCCAAACCTTGGGGGCTGTTATTGTAGGGCCGAAAATAGCCTATACTACTATGAATGTTTCTAGGAGACCCTATAACTTAACTTACATGGTGGTCTCAATTTCATGTACAAATGTAGATCAAGCACAGGTACCTAGTACCTGCATTTACATAATTGCAAGGGTTGTCCGTGCATGTACCCAGTACGTACCCGGGGGTCCTGCTAATTTCAGCGGTATTTGGTAATTTTTAATTTCCGATGTTCGAGGCCTCCGTTGGAGAGTCTGGACTGTTATTTGAGAGATCAACGCTTGGATTTATTAACTTGCACACTGTTACATGTCGTGTGCATGGTTACTCTTAGTAATTAGAAATTACTCTAGTACTGCCTATTCTTACATTAAATCTTAAGTTAAACATGCAAAACATATCATACTCGAGGATACTTCGTAGTCGCATGTAGATCAGACCCTTTCCAAAAGGCTTGGTTCAGGCCAAGACTCTGTCATCCCTCTCCGCATGACGCTGGACTTGGAGAAAGTCTCCCCCCTATTCTTGCCTATCCTCTTCAACCTACCCTCCCACTATGAATACGGTGCTTACTCGGCCCTCTCTCTCCGAGGGGACCAGAACTCCGATCATCAAAGTCCCGGATCCGGGCCCCTCATCTCACTTTCTCGCGGGGCCTCGGGCCAGCAGAGGGAATCTGGATACTTTCTCGCCGGTGAACGAGAATGGGAGCTTCGAATTCGACCGTGTGGTGAAGACAGGGAGGGTCCAGCGCCGAGTCAAGCACAAGCATGTCTTCCGCGCCTCATGGAAACCAGCCTACCTCGTCCTCCGACCGAACCACCTGTCCGTCTACAAGGACGAAGAAACCACCCGCCTCCGAGTCTCAATCCCCCTATCCGAAGTGACCGCCGTCGCGCCCGTCAAATCAGCGCGCTCAACCAGGAAACATGTCTTCGGTGTCTTCACCCCTGCAACCAACTACCGCTTCGAAGCGCCGACACAACGCGATGCCGAGGACTGGATCCAACGCATCCGCACCGAAACCCCCGGCAACGAGGACGAGCAAGCTTTCCTAGCCTTGACCAACAGGCGCGCACCCCCGGCCATCCATAAGCAGCTCGTCGACGACACAACCGACCACTCCCACTCCGACTTCGATCTTGCCGGCCGCGCCAGCTCGCCCGAGCCACGCCATACCCGGTCAACACGCAGCCATAGCCACGCCCCGAACCTCCCTTACATCCAGGATTACTCGGGCAACGAGGCCACCTCCTTCTCAGAGTTCTCCGACGGGTCCCCGCCGACCCGCAACAGCCATCTACGATCCATGCCATCGATCCATTCTCTCTCCCTCTCCGCGCCAGAGGAGAAAATCGCACCTCTTCCCCGCGACACAAACAAACCATCCGACCTGGGTATCCTCAGGGATCCCGAACGGGTCGCCTGTCAGGGGTACCTGCAGGGGCTACGTATCCAAGGGACCGTGCGCCAGTGGAAGCGACTCTGGGTTGTGCTGCGTCCTAAGAGTCTGGCGTTTTACAAGGATGACGCGGAGTACTCTGCGCTGAAGATCATCCCCATGTCGCAGGTAATCGATGCGGCCGAGGTGGACCCTCTGTCGAGATCGAAGACATTCTGCATGCAGATCATCGCCGAGGAAAAGACTTATCGGCTTTGCGCGCCGGACGAAGAATCCCTCGCACTCTGGCTGGGCTCCTTGAAGAGTATTCTTGCTGCTCGCCGGAAACTGGATCCCGCTTTGGGAAGTTCCGTATAATCAATTCCCTTGGAGAGCTTGTCCCACTACTCCCATTCTCATACCTCTGTCTCTTCATCTTCCGCGTCTCTCAGCGATTCTCTTTCTTTCTTTCTTGTCTCATCTTTCATTCAATATACCCAGGTTGGTGATTCCATCCCGCCTACCCCTTGTCTCAGGTGGAGATGACGAGGAGCTTCGGAGTCTTCGAGTAGCGGATCGGCGTTAATTTTTGCCCACATCATCGAGTGGGCAAAGAGGAGTTTTCATTTCCATCATGAGGCTGTCCAACTTCTACTGTTCTCATTCTTTACTTCAACTTATTGTCCTTCTCATTTGTTTCATTTATTGGAACTGCATCTTCACGTGTCCCATATCTCACAGTCGAATCTGGCATTATCTCTTTCTGTGTCTTTTGATTTCTATCTTATTGATTTATGTGAAGCACTTACTATGCTGTATCATATTGTTTCCGGTATATTACTGTATTGGAGCTCATAAATATAATCTATATGGAGTGAAACAAATTGAAACTACTTCATCTTCCCTTACTCGCTGCCAGAAAGATGAAACGCAGATGTTCTATTCATGTCACAACTATTTGGCATCAGTCAGATAGACCTGGCTGGTATCTCGTCAACCCAGTAACAAGATCAAACTCCCATAAAAGACCCAAATCATTGTATCCCGCCGGACTATACATCAACTCTCTTTTCGAAAGCCTCATCCTGCTTCTCAGCAACAACATCAGCAGGAATACGGTCAGGTGTGGAATTCACAAGCATGATCATAGGGACCAAAGCCACGCCAAGTAAGGCGAAGGTCACGCAGCTAAAAAACGGTCAGCTGAGTCAATTTCTTCAAAAAGTGTACGCAGAATACAAGAGAAGATGAAAAACATACAATCCAACAAGAGGATTACTCGTCGTCTGAGTATTCATACCATAGGCAATAGCCTGACCAATAGCCTCAATACACCTAAAGGCAGCACCATTGCGGACGTTTTCTGCGATAATCATCAAAAGTCAGCCTCCAAAAACAAGAACAAAAACAGAAACATCTAGCCTCATCCACTGAGAAACAGCTATACTCACCCTGAGCATCAGTCGCAAAAGAAGACAAAAGCCAATACATATACGACTGCGATAAAGGACCGGTAGTCTGTATAAAGAAATACGGCAAAAAGGACGAGGCGTATAGTCCATCATCCCAATCGATATGGCCGGGGTTATGGCTGTTGAATCTGGTCTGCATGATAATTGACCAGATGTATACGCCGACGTTGAGAATGACAACGATATAGAGACCTATTTGAGCGCGGCGGCGTTGGCTGAGGCTCTTCATGTCGAGGATGAAGCCGAGGCCGAAGCAGCCGACACTGGTGGGACTCGTGTTAGTTTGTGCGAATGGTATGTTTTATCTGGCGGGGATATATGTTGGACTTACATGCAGAAGAAAGGAGAAATTAGAGATGAGAGAGCGCGGGAGCGCACTGAGAAGTAGGTTCCTAGGTAGGTGGACCATGTGCCTCTGTATGACATATGTTAGCTTTTCATCGTATGGACTTATCAATACGGGACTGGTGATTTGTCCTACGAGTAGAAGAATGACCACAGTGCCCAGAGGGCAGACAGCATAATGAGTTTCGAGGTCATTGTCTTTGCAATGCGTTTCAATTCCTGCTTGGTAGAAAGGGTTTCTGCAATGACGATTTTTGTACCGTCGGATCGGACGACGCGTTCAAAGGGTGTAATCAATAGTGCGAATGGCAGGCTGAATGGAATTAGCACAGGCTCTTGCGCAAGTTTTTGGCTCGAATGCACTCACGCTAGAGACTCAATAATCAAGAAGGCGATATAAGTATCAGGAGAGATGCCGCCTTCGGCTCCTTTTTCATGGTTCTTTGAGAGGCTTCACACATCATTATTAATTGATCTCCATGCCAATGATAATAGAAAGACTCACTTGATTGCACCGCCAACCAACTGGCCGAGATTCCGTGACACGATCCATAACGCTAGGTACTTTCCTCGAGCACCGGACGGTGCGAGAGTCATTATAGCTCCTGCTTCGGCGACATACCAGCAAGCAGTTCCAATACCGCTGATAGCACCGCTGAGAATGAGGTACTAGAAGATATATTAGGTCAGGCTGTTGGCTTGAGAGAAGTCTCGATTCCTCACCCATTGGTTCCCAAATTTGCTATTGCAGTAGTATGCAGATCCTTCAATAGGAAATGACATTGATCCGATAACGAGGGCCCATTTAACACCGATCTTATTGACCAACGGGCCGCCCAAGAAGCAGACTGAATGACTCACGTCAGCGCACGGGATATTTTCTAGTTGACACATATGGATATGTACATACCGACGGCAAGTAGGGCATACGTAATTGCTGTTGCGATGTTTGATATATGCGGAGTTGCAAGACCACCGCCACCAAGGCCTATGATACATCATTAGTTGGAGGTATAACTTATAACATGGTCGGTGCAGCACACTCACCAGTAATCGCGTCCGCCATGGCTGGTCCGCAAAACGCCTGGATACTCAATAGTATCATCTGCGTCAAACTATGTTGCCATACACGCTTCCAGCGTGGTACAGTCGCCCTGTATTGCCCCATATCGACATCAGCGCCCTCGGTCGCTGGCGATGGAAGAGGATCATGCTTGGTGATCGTATCTTTTGATTCACTCATTATAGAAAGTATACAAAAACAAAAGGTTGACCTAGTAGGCTAGAAACGGGTGGCATAGGGTTATTTATACCCCCTGTCTCTATACACTACGCTTATCTGGTAACCAGAGAGAGTCTTGCCGACTCACATTCCCCTCATTTCCAAGATAGGATATTAAGTCGATGGAAGGTCCACGCTCTGCTTATCTCTTCTGGAGCTTCACTACATTTCACAGCCTGGGGCGACGGAGTGGACTGTTCCCCGCGTTCTCGGTTTCGTGGGGTTCTGTGGTGATGGAAGGTCCAAACGAACGAACTGCGCTAGCACTCCACTTCCCAATATTCGGCAATTATCCGCACCAATAACTGCTGTTAGGTCTTGATAAACGCTATAATTGGGAACGGTGTCATATTCCGAGTATCTTGAGTCAACCGAGATAACGTTTACCATCATATGATCCCACTCGGCTTTTATCAATTGACTTCGTCTCCGTGATCCCCTTCAATTGTACCTTGTTCCCTTTCACTCGCACAACTCGCCAAGGCCAATTCACAGCATGGCTTCTTCCCGTGCAGATACAAAGATTGTTGTCGTCGGGGGAGGCGGAACAATTGGATCGTCAACTGCACTGCATCTCATACGCTCTGGCTACACACCTTCCAACATTACCGTGCTGGATGTATATCCAATTCCATCCCCCCAATCGGCAGGACATGATCTCAACAAGATCATGAGTATCCGATTGCGTAATAAACCCGATTTGCAACTTTCCCTAGAGGCTCTTGACATGTGGACGAATGATGAGTTGTTTAAACCCTTCTTTCACAAGGTCGGAATGGTGAGTCAACCTATTGCATCTGTATGCTTTCATGTTAACATAAAGTTAGATTGATTGTTCTTCGTCTAAGGAGGGAATTGAGAGTCTTCAAAAGAAGCTCCAATCGCTCATCGATGTGAATATCGGACTGGAGAAGACGAATACTTGGTTAAATGAAGATGAAATCTTGAAGAAGGCGCCGTTCTTCACGCCGGATCAAGTCAAGGTAGCTTCTCTATGAACAGAATCTATTTTGGAAGTAACTGACCAGTGTACGCGCAGGGGTGGAACGGCTTGTTTTGCAGTGATGGAGGCTGGCTTGCTGCGGCCAAGGCCATCAATGCTATAGGACAATTCCTAAAAGGTCAAGGTGTCAAGTTCGGATTTGGCGGGTACGTGAGACGATTGTATAGGGGAATTCGATGTTTACTAATTACTTATAGTGCCGGAACCTTTAAGCGGCCTTTATTTACAGATGAAATGACATGCATTGGCGTTGAAACGGTCGATGGAACGAAATACTACGCCGACAAAGTGGTTCTGGCTGCTGGTGCTTGGAGCTCAACATTGGTTGATCTAGAGGATCAGTGTGTTTCCAAAGTAAGTTGAACACACATTGCAAGAAACACCCAGCTTGTATCCCTTTACTAACATGGTTCCAGGCCTGGGTCTACGCTCACATCCAACTCACACCCCAAGAAGCTGCCGAGTACAAGAATGCACCGGTAGTATACGACGGGGAATACGGATTCTTCTTCGAACCTAACGAGTAAGCACCCTCAATCCTTGGGGCCAACAGAACATGCTAATTCCAATCTATAGGTACGGAGTTATCAAAGTCTGCGATGAGTTCCCCGGCTTTTCTCGCTTTAAGCAGCACCAACCCTACGGCGCTGCTTCTCCCAAGCTGATCTCCGTTCCTCGATCACACGCCCAACATCCTACAGATACATACCCCGACGCATCCGAGGTGACCATTCGAAAAGCGATTGCGAGGTTCATGCCCCAGTTTAAGGATAAAGAACTTTTCAATCGGGCGATGTGCTGGTGCACGGATACTGCCGATGCTAATCTATTGATTTGTGAACATCCCAAGTGGAAGAACTTTATCTTGGCTACCGGTGACAGTGGGTAAGTGAAGGGCCCAAGAATGGTGTGTTGTATAGAGTGATGACCTTGCTGACATTATGACAGTCATTCCTTCAAAGTGTTGCCAAATATTGGCAAGCACGTTGTCGAGTTGATCGAAGGATCTCTATCGCAAGATATGGCTGATGCATGGAGATGGAGACCTGGTGGTGATGCCCTCAAGTCTAGACGTGGTGCCCCTGCGAAAGATCTTGCTGATATGCCGGGGTGGAGACATGATGCAAAGCTATGATGTAGATTGATGTTGACTGGCAATTTTAAAGTGATTGGCTCACATCTGCAGGGCTCTGGAAGTTCGCTTATCTCGAAAGATGATGATCTGAGATCCTTCTGCCTGTCCAATTACCCGATCCACTTTTGTGCATAAATTATTCGTATGTAGCGCCACTTCTGGTGTATTCTCAAAGTAGTTGGGATAGCACTAAATAATCATCACTTCCTCGATTGGCAGATGGCATCCTCTTGTACCATGTCATATGTATGGCTTTATTTCTTCAACTAAACCTATTGTAACCTCAACCATCTTATTTTGAATCGCACGGCCTGAAAGGTGCAGACTGAAGAGCCTGCAAGGGACTACTTAAGTTAATTGTAATGTCTCTTGCTTGGTGTTAGGACCTGGAGCCGGTAGAAAATGTTCTATACCAGCTCAACATAATTGCCAGTATATATATATGTTGTCATGGCAAGTGTCGGGATGTAATTCGTTAATAAGTAGTGCGTCTTATATCTCTCATGTACGCTCCTGGACACAAGGCGCCTTTAGCACCAGAAGCAGTTAGTTCTGTCAATTTCTAGTTCCTCGGATTTTATCAGTGGATGTCGGGCTAAATTGTCAACAGATGTCTAGGTAAAAAGCTTATTTAAAGCAAACAAAACTTACTTTAGGGTCTTGGCCAAACTCTCACCCAACAACACCCCTACAGCATAGTATTATTGAGCTAGCCAATACGCAGAACTCCAAGGATACAATGAATCGTATATATGAACAGCTATATACTCAGGACTAGTACCGAACTTCGCAGGCTTCAGACCATTCCGGGGCCATGTTATCCTTCGATATAAATGTATGCTAGTGATGCTTAAGAGGGAAATAACAGATAATATATAGTCTCTACTATTATATAGACTTTAGTGAAATCTATTCCACTCTAGATAGAAAAGCCAAAAAGGCCCCGAAACAACTAGGTAGCAGAGATAAGAAAGAAGAAAGTAATGTGACAACGCCGTTTTTAGGACATGCAAGGAACGGAAAAAAAAGTTCTACAATGACCTCCTTAACGCATCTCCTCTTCCTCCGCAGGAATGCTGTCATACTCGCCGGAAGAGGGCCCGCCTGCTCCACTAGAATTAGCAAGATCATCCTGTGTCTTGCTCTCATGGTTAACAACCAAGAATGACAAGAACACAATAGCTGCTCCAACCCAATATAACGCGCTGGCGTATTGCCCCTGTAGGACGATCTGTCCAACCAAAGAAAGCGGGATGGTTAGACTGAGGCCGACAGTCACGACGAGTGGTGTGGTAAGGAGCATGGCATAGGCCCAAAAAATGTCAGACACGAAAGATGCAAGCGAGTTGGACTGAATTTCACATTAGTTAGGTGGACATGAATGACAAGGGAGGATTAAAACATACCAGAATGATCGTCCAAACTCGGCTCGTCTCCGGCAAGGCAAAAGTCTCAATTCCAGTCCAGTGGAAAATGAAGAAACCGGGCCATAGAAGGACAACGTTGAAGAATCCAACTAGCCCGAAGAATAGTGACATATCCACCTTGGACTCGTCGCCAACTTGCTTCTTCATCACGATGGTGTAAAGACCATACATTATGGCGCTGAAGGCAGCCATGGCATCACCGAGGGCAATTTCTCCAGATGACTTGTGCGGGAATGAGCCCTCGCTGCCGTCTGAGGCTGCGCCTGCGTCATCTGACTTGGTGAGGTCCACGCGCGAAATCAGGATGATGCCGATCAATGAAGCAATAACACCCAAGAATTTACGCGCAGTGAACTTCTCAACACCAATCAAGGCACCGAAGATCAGAGTCCAAACACCTGGAAGAGTGTGAGTACGAGACTACAAGTGTGTTGAATGTCCAAGACAAGGAATACTTACCACTAGTGGAAGTCAAGATAGTTGTACTCCCGACGGTAGTGAACTGGAGACATCCCATGGCAAAGTAGTTTGCCTATTCAAAAACCACAGATTAGTCCATGCCAGAGACAACTCATACAACATCAACCAAAACATGGGATGTACGACATACAACAAACTATAACAGGTTAGCAAAGGGACCGAATACTCTCAAGCGGTGGTAGCATCCATACCCAAAGCATACAAAATTGAACACTCAATTTAGCCGTAGCCTTCAAGCCCAGCTTGGCATTTGAAGCATCCTGACTGGAGCTAATCCGTGCACCTTCCTCGTCCGAGTCGCCATGTAGAATACTCTCCTCCTCAGCTTTAGGATCATGTGAATCCAAATGTCGCAGCAAGCTCTTGAGCGAGGTGATCTGTGAGAGTTTCCCCTGGCGCCAGAGCCCCCATGTGCGTCGGATAAGGATTGTGAAGAGGGGTATTATGAACATCGACGTGTTTGTATAAGTCACGAAAAAGGGTTTCGGGTACGTTCTGTCGGCGAAGATTGTCTGAGGTCGTTCAAGACAAGATCAGCTAGACTGTTCATAACGTGTTGGTTTAAGGATGGGGTGCGCATACGCTACCGAGGAAATTCGATGCTGTCCAAAGCACGACTACCACCAGGAGTAGAATTATTCCTAGCGTTCGCCGAGGCACGCCGAATACCCTTGGACCGGGTCCATCTGAGGTGGCAGGAGGCATTCTGAAGTGGTTGGGGTGGGTGAAGTAGTGAAAGATTGTGCTCGCGCGACCTGTCAAGATGTATGTCGGTTGGACGCCCCCGATGTTGCCGATGTCGCCGATGTCGTGTCGCAATCGCTATGTTTGCGTCTGGTGATGTCGATGAGAGATCAGGCGACACACGGGCATCAGCGCAATGTGTGATAGTACCGGAGGAGTAAACGAATGTGACCGGACCTGCCAAGAGCGAAGACGGGGGTCGCCGCCAAGCATTCGATAAGGGTCCTGGGGGCGAAATGTCACCGGGCCGTTCAGGAACATTTTATGCATTTCCAGGCAATTATAGGGCACGTTTAATGCTTGGGGTTTCATTCTACATTCTGGTTTTACTGCTTCGCTTCGACACTTATAACTGCAAAGACAGATAATGGGTTGTAATAGAACAAGACACGTCTGCAGAAAACCAAGAACAAACTAGATAGACTTGAGAGGCATTCTCCACGAGACCTAAAATATCTACAAGACGGGGAAAGACAACGTCCAAAAGTAAAACCATAGTCTTCTCTACAGACTCAAAAACCGGAGACCAATGTGGCGACAGTACAGAAACACAAAAGAAAAGGGTCGCTGGAACATCAAGAGAATGGGAAGGGTATATCAACAGGCACAGCCATCGCGGTCGTTGTCCAGATGGATGTTGATCGGGTCACTAAATTCACCACTGAACTCCTCAGCCTCTTCTTGGGCGAGGGCACTGCGCGCGATGACTTGATTTTGTTAGTATGGACCAAGTCGTGAACTGGAGTCTCGACTCACCTTCGAATGCCTGTTCGACATTGACAGCTTCCTTGGCACTGGTCTCGAAGTAAGGGATGTTACCCTTGGACTGACAGAAAGTCATAGCCCGTTTTGAGGAGATCATGCGCTTGTTCTCCTCCACATCGATCTTGTTGCCGATGACCACCTGCACATGATTAGCACGGACCATGCCATTTTTGCCTCACAAGGCAGAATGTGAGAATGTCAACTTACGAATGGGAAGCTCTCAGGATCTCTTGGGCTGGCTTGGATCAGGAACTCGTCCCGCCAGCTGTCCAGCGCCTCGAAACTCTTGGAGTTGTTCACGTCGTAGACAAGGACACAACAGTCGGCTCCTCGGTAGAAGGCGACACCCAATGACTGGAACCGTTCTTGACCTGCAGTGTCCCAAATCTGGCATCTCCCAGTCAGCTATAGTCTCCACATGGGGATCAAGGTGTTTCAAGCCTCACCTGCATTGTGACGAGTCGGTCATCGACGAGAACTTCCTTCGTGAGGAAGTCAGCTCCGATGGTAGCCTTGTAGCTTCCGCTGAACTTCTTGTTGACCTAGTCATCTCGGAAAATTTCATGTTAGCGCTGGTAGGAATTGGCGACCGGCTGCGGCACAGCTGCCGAGCGCTGGGGGGCAAGGCTGAACGGACATATTGGTTCATCAAGCTTGTCTTTCCGACACCGCTGTCACCGAGGATGATAACCTGTAACACGAAAGCACCCAGTCAGTAACGTAACTCCATTTAATAGAATTTGAAGTCCGGCACATGGGGTAGTTGCGGAAGCTGTACCTTCAGGAGGACCTTCTTTCGTGACGCCATGGCAGGGAATCGGCCAAGAGACAGGTCAAAGAACAATAAACGAACAGAGGATGTTCCAATATCAAGCAAAGACTAAGTAATCTCTGCTGCAGGGAAAGTGAGGAGAGTCGGAGTTGGGTTGCAGCCGGATTCGATGACGGGCGGTCGATCGGGCGGTGGACTTGATAACGATAGCACCGCATCTCATCACTCCACTCCTATCACATACCCATGGCCCACTGGAGAGATGAGTACTTGGCTGCCCTGACAGTTCGAGATCAGAGAGAGAAAGCAAATGCTTCTCTATATGATGCCTGTCCGTCTTCTGAATGTTATTGTTGAGCGATTTCGACTGACATCATTTTACCAATCTAGATACTCAGCTTGCAGATCGCACCAGCAAACTGCATGCCGTAGCAGCTGCTACGAGCACCAGCTCAACGCCTAGACAGAGCGACTCTCAAAGCATTCCAGCTCCCTTGGTGGCGCCATCCAAAAAACAACTATCTTCTGAATCAGGCTCTACCCCGACTGATCTTCTCAATACAGCGCGTGCAGAGCTGTCCGAGGCACAGCGCTCCCGCTATGACTTGCAAGACCGCTTAAACCGAGCGAGCAAGGAGTTAGAAAAGTTCCGCAGGAAGGGTAATCTGGATGATCGACGCATTAACACTCTAGAAAGCGAGAAGGTGCATCTGCAGCTCCGTTTGAAAGACAGAGATGCCGAACTTAAAGGGAAAGCCAAGCTTCTAGAGGTAAGCAGCTCGGCTCTCTTGATGGAAGTCATATAGGGTTTGGAGCGAAGCGTAGGCTAATATCGTCTGGTTTTACAGGATTTCCAAGACGAGATGGCAACACTGAACCTTCAACTCAACATGGCTGAGGATCGTTCAACTCGGCTTCAAAAGGAGAACCAGGATCTGGTTGATCGTTGGATGGCGAGGATGGGCCAAGAAGCTGACGCCATGAACAAGGCATCGAAATTTTCTTAATCGCTTAATGCACTGGGTGCACAACAGGGTCGCTGGAAGTCCCTTCGGCGAATTGTATACGAATATCGGTGCATTTCACTTGGCTGCACCAAATAGATCACATAGCATTTGCTGTAGATGTCGACTCATGGAATTATTTGCATGCCTGAAATGTCAAATGTAGTTGAATTCTATATATTCAGAGATGATATCATATATGAAACCAACAGAAATGAAAAGGTATATCCAAAGACAGTGTACTTTACAAAATGCCAGAAAAAAACAATATTCGTGCCAATCCAAAGTGACCGAACAAGCTATCGCCATTCATAGAGTGCTTTCCATGAATGACTTAAGCCGAGAACTATCCTTAGTGGCAATGAAATATGTACCGCCAACGTCGGTCCAGCTAACGTGGTTCGACCAATAATTCTTCTGCTGAACTTGGAGGAGGTTGACCGGAGAGTTCAGGTTGCGGGATTGAATCTTGTGGCCAGCCGGCACGAATGACTTGAGCGAGACGATCTTGCAGCCTTCCTTCATATCCAAAAAGTGGTTAATGAGTTCGTTGTTCAGTTGGGGTGTGAACGCTTGATTGTTGATAAGCACTACATCAGCCCGCTTCAAGACGCTGATAATGCTCTCTTGCTCAAGGAAATCACCCCGGACAAGATGCGTTTTGCCTGGTAAAATTCCCCAGAGACGGCATCGCGCTTTGAACTCGGATTGCTGCAACTCGGCCAAATCACAGGCGTTTGACATCATCTCACACCCCCAGCTCTCACATCCAATTTCAAGAGCCGCTTGAAGGACGACATTGCCCACACCAGATCCAAGATCGACAAATACCTGGCCTGACTTGAGCTTGGTTTCCTTGAAAATAGTGCTGATGAAGCGGGGGAGAAGCTCTCCATAGACATTGTCCGTGCCGTTCTCGTATTGTCGGAGGGAGTCGACCCGAGGTGATACCGTGCGCGCATAAATCTGAGTCAGAATGCGCTCCACCCACGGTAAACTGATACGTTCCGTTGTGTCTAGATGCTTGGCAAGGCTCCCGCTGGTTCTCAGTCGCTGAATAGCTTTGTTGTAATCACCAACAGCCTCTCGGAATTGGGTCTCGGATGTGACGGCCAGAGCTCGGCGTAATCTTCGCTTGATACCAGTCGTCTCGTCATTAAACTCATCCGCCTCCTCACTTGGAATGTAATTGTCGGAAACAGTCTCGATGACCTGCACGATATCGTCGATGGGCCGGAATTCGTCATTGTCTCTAGGGACCACTGATTCAAATCTAATAAAAAATTAGCGTGTCTGACTCTAACCCAAAGTAGACTCGTTCAAATCACATACCTCTCCTGCTGCGAAGCACTGGGGTATTGCAGGAGAATTTGTTTCGACTTGCCCTCGGCACCGAACGCCGGCTTGAACTTGCTGGCCTTTTGGCCCGAGATGTCTGCAGCATGCACCATCTTGAAAGGTCGAGACCCTTCCTCCGAGAATGCTTTCACTGACCGAAGCCGCCGTTCCGGGTCCGGCTCGGCACTGGCGCTCGTCCTTGCACGCTTTCGCACTTCGAACGAGGCATCACTGTCACTCGCATCATCATCGCTCGAGAGCCGTTGCTCTGGTGTAGGCCTTTTTCGAATGCGCGAGGGTGTACTTCGTTTCGACGAGCGTGCATCGGCGTCGCTTGAGACTGATCGGGCTTTCAGCGGGTGCGTCTTCCGGCTCCGCTCCGAAGAGGATGGGACTCGAGGCGACCGAGTATCCGGGGTTTTCGTTGCTGATCGTGTAGGTGCAGGGGCAGCAGGTCGAGTCTGCACGACTTTGCGGATTTGCGCTTTCTTGGGTTGTAGAGAGAAGGCTCCGGCCCCTCCTTTTTGGAGATGATCGAAAAATCCCATAGGGAATATGCAAAATATAAACAAAGTAAGAAATGCAAGAAAGTGTATGCAAAGGACTAAGGATAGAGGGGTGAGAGAAGAAAGAAAAAGAAAGGCTTATCGATTAAGGCGCCACTCGGGGAAACCACGCGATCTCCGTTGTCTTGGCGCTCGAGCCCGTACCTTGACTACACTTCACCTTTCTATATTTGACTTCACTTGACTTGACTTGTGTCATCTCGCGTATCTCGTATCAAAGGCAATTGCTGAAACCAGAGAATTAAGAAGAATGAACCCTGGGGTATCACAATAATTTGATTTTTGCTATGTAAACTCGATTCAACTATAGACACACTCCTCTATTTCTTCTTCTTTGCCAGTCTCTTCTCCGCACGAATATCCTTCTTCATACGGGCATCCACAATCTTGTACTTGCCCTTGACACCCTTGGGACGACCAGAAATACCACGGTTGGCACCCTTGGCCACAACCAACTTGACTTCCTGCTTGGGCCTCTTCTTGCCAGCCTTGCTCATGATCTTGGCAATGGCACCGGCCTTGTCACGCTCGCTGAGGGCCTCGTCGTCTGCCAAAAGTGCAGACTTCTTGCGCAGCTTCTCCAAGCGCTGGGCGGCCTTGTACTTCTTGCGACCCTTGGCCTCCATGACCTTCTTGATCGGACGGGCGTTGATGGCACGCATCTTTTCTCTGATAGCAGCCGCGGCAGCCTTGGTGGTGGGACGAACCATCTTGCTGTGCTTGCCCTCATCGTCAATGAACCACTCGGGCAGACCGTCCACATCACGGAAGGAGAATCGGTTGAAGCCATCGTCAATAATATCGGTCGATTTCTTCTCACCGGTAGCCATTGACTGCGCAAGAGCCATGGCCTCAGCGGTAATAATGTCGATATCTGTACATGATGTTAATGATGGAATCTCGGCGGTTAGCATATGAACGTCACTTACCCAGCTGGCCATTAGCCTTCTTCGGATCTCCTAGGTCGACAGGCTCGCCCTCGTCGGACTCATCTTCCCATTCCGAGTCCTTCTTGGCGTTCTTCTTGGCATCCTTCTTGTTCTTTTGCTTGGAAGCAGGGGCCTTCTCCTCAACGTCCGAATCTTCGTCCATTTCAAAGATGTTATCGCCTTGATCCTCCTCTTCCTTCCCTTCTTCCTGCTCTTCTTCTTCCTCCTCATCATCTTCCTCGACTCCTAGCCCTTGGAAGATATCTTGATCAAAGAACAAGGAGGCATTGTTTGAGAGGTTTCCAGGACGAGGTACTGTGTTTGAGTCGACCATCTCTTCGTCTTCCTGTTCCTCTTCCTCCTCCTCATCGCTGCCCTTGTTTTCATCAGAGAAGCCATCCCACTCGTCTTTCTCGTATTCTTTGCGGTTCTTCTTGGCACGCAGTTTTGAATCCTTGTCTTCCTTGCGCTCTTGGTATTTCTCATACAGAGTATCAAGCTCCCGCTCAAGACGATCAGCTTCGTCGTCGCTCTCTTCATCTTCGGATTCAGAGTCATCCTCGCTTTCACTCTCAGCTGGAAGATCACGAGCGTTGATTACCTTGTCTCTGGCACCCTCGCGGTCGACGCGCTTAAGAGAGAAAGTTGTATCATCACCTCCCATTCCAAGCTGCTCCATACCAATTTCCATTGGCGTGGTCATGTTCATCTGCAAACGAACAATCTCCTTTCGCTTCTTTTCATTTTCCTTGCGTCTTTGCTTCTTGCCCTTGGCAGTCTCCTGCTCGCGCATGCGCATAAGATCCTCTTGGATGGCCAATTCTTCGTCCATGGGGGCGACCTCGGCGACTTCTTCCGCGTCTCCCTCTTGCGTCTTCTTCTTGACAACGAGACCGAACTTCTCGCGAACCTTGATACGCCATCTGAGCAGGTTGCGGAATTCCTTCTTACCAAGAACCTTCAGATCCTCACAGCAGGTTCGGATTTCTTCTGTGGTATCTTCTAGACGCTCAAGGGTAGACATGGCAAGATCTCCACCGGGAGGTTGTTGGAAACTGAGCTTGTTGTAGCCACCCAGAATAGAGATGGGATCCGTTGTGTTGATGAACTCAGTGACTGGGAGCTCCTTGAACTGGGTGTAGTCTCCCTCTTCGTAACCTTCACGCTTACGCTTCTTTTTTTCCGGGTTGAAGACCTTCGCCTCATAGTTGGGAGTAGGGGCAGAAAGTTCAGCAAAGACGTGCTTAGGGTCGAGAAACTTGGGATCGATGCGCTTGGGGGCCTTGTATCCGCGACAAACGACGAAAATTTCGGCAGAGACATTTCGAGAGGAAGGAGGCTTGGTGGCTTCGACGGAAGTGAACAGCTGCTTGAAAACCCACAGCAGTGGGTTGTAATCCTTGGAACGGAAGACCTTGGTGACAAAGCTTCCGCCCTCGGCCAAGAAATCAGTGGCCAGCCGCAGGGACTCCAGAACCAGTTCAGCCTGGGAGAAAGCATCCTGTACCCACGCGGCACCAACGTTGGGGGCACCATCGTGAAGCACAATGTCGGCCTTCCAGTGCTTGATGTGGGATTTGATGGTGGCGCGACACTTTTCCGTTGTGATATCGCTCTGGAAAGTAATGGCTCGGGGGATTGGTTTGATTGGGGAGAGATCGACACCGATGATCAGACTTTGCGCGGGCATGTACTCTGCGGCGACTTGACACCAAGACTGCAGAGAAGTTAGACATGCGACTTTTCACAAAGAGTATGACTTGATGGTACTTACACCAGGCGCAGCGCAAAGATCGATACAAACTCTGCTCTTCTCCAGGAAACCATACTTCTGGTTCAATTGGATCAACTTGAAAGCAGCACGGGCTCGGTAACCCTTCTCTTTGGCAAGCCGATACCACTTATCCAAACGACCTTTTCCATGCTGCAGATAGTCAGTAAATGAAGCGAAGTGAGCCGAGAAAAAATATGACTGACCTTCTTCTGGATCGCCATTTTGACGGAAAACTGATCTATTCAGACCAGAAATACGTCGGAATTAAATGACTGGGGAAAAGAGCGAATGTATACTTTTCCATCGAAGATCCGAGAAAAAAAAAATGGCAATACTTATCGCTGACCGCCTTTAGACCGATTCCAGGTTCTCCAGTTTGTTGCCTGAGGCCAAAAAGCGGTGCTAGACATGTGACGTGATATCATTCAGGCACCCTCTCGTGGCGGATGCTTGTCTACTGATTGTATAGCTCTACTGATGTTTTTACCTCTACCTCCATGACGAAGGGATCTCGCAAGAGAGTCAAGCCCAGCCCTTCCGGCGAGGACTCGCCGACTCCAGCGCCCAGTGATGTCCGAGCTCGTTCTGACTCCCAGTCGAGAGGGCATAATGCAGTGAGTATTGGGATTGTCTAGCCCATTCAAGATATGTCTGGCTAATCGATTTTCTCACGTTATAGAGCTGGTATCCCGGGTCCTGGTCATCCGTTGCCAGAGTCTCCAAAGCGGCCCCAGTTACCGAGGTTGCCCGTGAGAGTATTTCGGCGGCGAGAAACGTAGCTTCGAGCGTTACAGCCTCATCAACTTCTCTTCTTGATACCCCCAACAAGATTCGACACCCCTCCCTTCAACTTACGAGAAAATCGGGCTCCTCGGCCAGATCTCTCCCTGCTGATGCTACTACAACCCGTGTCAACATTGCATCAGATGGGTCGGCTTCCACACCAGCTGTCGTTGATACCGGAGAACTCAGTGCAACGGGAACTGTAACACCTGATAAAGAAGCGTCCGGCGAGAACGACACTAAGCCACTGGAAGAACCCGCCAAGGAACAGGAGGCTACTCCTAACACCGATCCTAGCACGTTGCATGTAGGACATGCAGAGGGCCCTGAACAATATAGCAGCTGGCGCTCATGGATCTACGGGCAGCCAAGTACATCTAATGGTGTTGCAGCTGCACTAGAATCGACAGGAACTGCGGAGCGTGCGGTCGGAAACCAAACTACAGAGCCGACTGAAGGTCAACCTACCACGAAGGACGTCACAGCCGAAGAAGAACAAACAGAACCGGAGCCAGAGCAGACGAAGGATACTATAGAAGTCACTCCAGTGGCGCAGAAGCGATCTTGGCTTCAGATGTGGTACGGTTCTAACGCGCCCAGCAAGAAAGAAGAGCCATCGGCTTCAGAACCCACAGTCTCTTCGACGAATGCGGAATCCACCGGAACTCCCGACATCAATATGACACCCAAGGCTCCCCCAGATGAGGCAAGAGAGCCTATTGGAGAGACACGGAATCCGGTTGGAACTACGAGATCATCTGGCTGGTCATTCTGGTCCAAGGATCCGACAAAGGACGGGCACTCGGACAAACCGCAGGAAGGCGAAGCGGTTGAAGCATCGATTGAACCACACGCCCAAACCAAGCCGACAACACTTGAGCCAGACCCAGAAACAAATGTGAAGATCACCCAAAAGGGCAGCATCAAAGTCAAGCCACCCAAAGACAACCGCGCCAAAGATGGATCTGTATCTGCGGTCGAGACTAGTTCCACACCTACACCACCCATTGAGCCTCGACCAGCTGATACCACCGCCTCAAAACAATTACAGAAAATCCTCCCCAACCAGGTATTGCCACGTTTCGAAGAAACATACACATTCGAGGAGTCGCCCTCCCTCTTCCAGAGTCTTGGTCGATTCCTCCATTATGGAAAAGGGCCAGAACTCAAACATGTTAGCAGAGTCAAGGACCCGCTGCATGTTAAACACGCCCTGGCCATTGGTGTCCATGGATATTTCCCAGCTCCTTTCATTCGGAGTGTACTCGGGCAACCCACAGGGACCTCAATTCGGTTCTCCAATATGGCAGCGGACGCTATTCGCAAGTACACAGAAAGCCACGGCTATGCCTGCAGCATTGAAAAGATCGCCTTGGAAGGAGAAGGCCGCATTGTGGAGCGGGTGGACGTACTCTGGAAGCTGCTTCTGAATTGGATGGAAGAAATTCGCAAAGCAGATTTCATCATGGTTGCTTGTCACAGTCAAGGAGTACCAGTGGCGATTATGCTAGTTGCGAAGCTGATCCAGTTTGGCTGCCTTGATGCTAAAAGAGTCGGGATTTGTGCCATGGCAGGTGTAAACCTTGGTCCCTTCCCTGATTACAGATCTCGCTGGATCAGCGGCTCGGCTGGAGAGCTGTTTGAATTTGCACTTCCTTTCAGCAAAGTTTCGAAGGAGTATGAGGCAGCTCTAAAATGTGCTCTTGAATTTGGTGTCCGCATTTCTTACATCGGCAGTATTGACGATCAACTCGTTTCTTTGGAGGTGCGTACAATCCTCACTTCTATCATATACCATTCCTCTAACTTGCTCCCAGTCCTCCCTCTTCTCACCCATAGCGCACCCTTACGTCTACCGCGCCGTGTTCGTCGATGGCCGCGTCCATGCCCCAAGTTTGTAAGCAGCGCTCACCTCCATCCAACTCTCATCAAACTGCTAATAATCGAATAATAGCCTCTCCCACTTAGTCGGCTTCGCTCTCAAGCTCCGAAACCTGGGTATATCAGACCACGGTCTAATCCGCGAACTAAGCGCCCCGCTAGCAGGCAGTCTATACACTGGAGAAGGCCATTCTCGCCTGTACGACGATGAAGCGGTATATTAGTATGCAACCCCCCACGCCCCAAACAGCCTCCTAATCCAAATCTTAACACCGTAACCCATCTAGCATGGCCATTGAATTCGCCCTAGAAACATCCTCCGTCCCAGATTCAACAATCAGCATCAAACGAGCCAGCGGCTCCGTCACTCCGAATCCATATATCCTCCCCTTCGCCATGCGCGGTCTTCTAGAAGAAGAATTCGTGCGTCGCGAACTACACGACGAGACGATGGAGTTACTTCGGCAGTTTGATGACTGGAAACCTTCTAGTAAGGTTTTAAAGGATGTCAAGTTCCGGCTTGAGGGTATCCGGTCTAAACTGTAGATTGAGACTAGATACCACCCGGAGGAAAGTTGCTGTTAGTATTTGGTTAGAATGGAAACTGGAGATAAATATGCGTTTCTTTCCTAGGGTTTGCTTTGTTCTTCCATGCATATATATACACATACAAATTTCAATTATTTCGATAAGCGTATTATATTGCTTTATTCGATCTTGGTGAATTCATTATAGATGTGGCAGGATAGGGTCTGCTTTCGTGTGCGTACAGAATAACTATCGATGCGAGTTGAGGACAGAAAAAAATTGAGATCCACATGCAATAAACGCCGGAAGTCTTCCCCGTCCCAAAAATTGATATTAAAAATAGCAGAAAGGAACAGTAGAGATATAAGTCGTAAGAGGGGAGGGATCGTGAATATGCAAATAGTAGGCTTGCATGTACCGAAAAAGGGGGGAGGGAAAAAAGAAAGAAGAGAAAACCCGGATTAGATATGGGATGCTGGGAACGCCGTTTTATATGCACCTTCGATTTCATCTAAAATACTGTTAGCAAGAGGACATACCAGGTTATCGACCCAAAGAGAACCAGGATAAACTCACCTCTCATCCCATCCATCGCCTCAAAAGCAAGCGAATAATTCGAAACAGCAGCAACAATCCGCTGCAACCCCTGTTTCAACTCCTCAATAAGTTGCCCAGTGGAATCACCACTCTGCTCATTATCCGCATCAAGAGACAGCTGCTTCGCCACACGAGCCTTATAAAAGATCATGAACATGGCATAGCTACTCTGCATAAGACAGCACGCGAACGAAGGCATAGTCCTCGGCAATGGGCTGTGCCGCTGCTGCTGATTATCAGTGAGCGGCTCGGGAACAGGCAAGCTCTGGAACATGCGAGAAATAACGAGAGCGGCCTGGAGACAGATTTTGGCTGATTGTTGCGTGCTGTAGGGGAAACTCGAGGCGAAGGGGTATTGCGAGTATTGGGGTGCGTAGGTGTTCATGTCTGGGTGGATTTCGGAGGATGTTGTTGAGGAATCAGAGGGAGTCATGTATTCTGATGAGGCGGCTCGGCGGAACGTGCCTAGGTTGCTGCAGGAGCAGGTTACATTGGTTATGCCTGAGTTTGGTAGGGTGCGTTTTTCGTTCGAGGTTGTTGTGTTTGGGTTTGCGGCTGTTAGGTCGCAGTGTCGCTTTATGAAGATTGGGATTTCGGAGAAGGCTCGGAAGCGGTGCGTTTTGATTTGGGCACTGGGGGTTTTTGTTAGTTAGATGTGGATTATAGAGGGCATTGGGGTGCGGTACCTGGCTAGTTTGATTCGGGCTATTGCGCGTATGCTTAGCGCTGTAATGGATTCGTTATGGTCCCCGAAGTCTGATGATTGGGGCATGATGGGAAGTAACTCTGCTTGAGTGATTACAGCGGTTGTCCATGCATCCAGTTGTTGCATGCGTTCGAACATATAGTACAGGCCTGATTGCGAAGTAAGGCACTTATTGAGGTCTCCAATGAATTGTGTTGCTGATACCAGGACTTGTTGGGCCTGTATCAAAATCGACCAACCCTGAAGAAGAGTTAGCAAATCCGAAATGTGGCGAGAGTTGAATTGTCCAGACAAACCTCTGTATCAGACGAGAAGGTTGGGTATGGTGTCGTAAACTGGGGGTCATTAATGACAATGGCAGGCATCTTTTCTCGATAAGCGTCAAGTTCACAACCAACGGAATGATTATACTCACCGTCGTGCTCACAATAGACCCTTGCATAACGCAATAATACTAATAGATGGTCAATTATAATCCCAGACTCGAATTCAAGGGAAACAAACCGTCAACCACCAAGCTCTCCGTTTAGCTTCTGAAACATCATCATTTCCCATCTGCGCATAAAGCGACTTGTCCAAAGCAATTGCCAAGGCCTGACCAGCCCGATATCTCATCTTAAGCAAATTCCCCCTTTGCGCATATTCATATACCGAAAGAATCAACAAGGCAAGAAGACTCTCGAGGTCCACAGGCGTCCTAGAATGGAACCTTTCCCGTGTAACAAAAGGCCGTGCTGCAGACAATGCCTGACCGGGGTCAGTTGCCGACAAGTCAAGATCACACTCGGCTTCGATAGTTGAATTTGCAAGCTGGGCGAACCTGTGCGCGTAGGCTCTGCGTTGAATGATAGATGCTGCAGAAGATGGTTCGAGATCCCTTGGGTGCGGGATCAAAGCCAGGATTGCGGAGATTGCAAGACTTAACGGTGATCTGGGTCGATACATCATCATCGGTTCGGGTGTATTAGAACCTGGAACGGGGACATTCAAGGGTCGATCTCGGCATGGTGGTGAGACCCGTGGTGGTAGAATAGGGAAATAATTATGGATGAAATCATAATAAGCGTTCAATCTGGTTGAATGTATAAGAGATGTGTTTAATGTCACGCAGAAACAGAACTTACATCTCCGGTTCACTTCCATAGGTCCTAACGAAGGACTGGGAGCTGGTCATGGACGGCGGCATCGGAGGCACTTGCATATGTGATTGCCCTTCGCCAGTGAAGAAACCCTGGAACATGAATGGCGTTTCGGATTGGAGATCGAGATGTCGCAACCCTGCACCAGGTAGGGCGAGATCATCGATTTGACTAAACATCCCCGATGCTGAGCTCTCGTTAGTGACATGGTGGAGCGTGGATCGTTCCATGTACATACCATCTTCGAACTCCCGGGGCGAAGGCATAGTACCATATTGCGCATCATCTTGCCTAGACTCTTTCTCTGGCGAGTCAGAAGTCTTTTCCTTCTTTTTCCGTGGACCGCCTCTCTTGCTAGGAAGATATGAGCATTCACGATCTTTGCTGACACACTAAAGCAGATCGAGAGTTAGTTCAAACATATCCTTAGCGCTTGCGCCAGACCCGAAAGGAATCCCAGCTGAGCAAACGTACATTCGAACAGGGCGTTTGGCCGCCACATCGAGTCCTCGACGCCCGACTGGAAGAAATTAGCGGGGAAAGTCCATAAAGAGAAACCGGGATTTGCTCACCAAGGCAGACAAGCTACCTTCACAGGCGGTTTGGCAAACTTCTTGCGAACTGGCCGCGTCGTCGAGGCAAGCCCGTTATAATCGTGGAAACTGTCGGCCATGGTCACAACTATAAGGGGATTTCCGAGTTCGTCTCCAAAAAACTTCTTCAAAATCTACATCAACTCGCAAAAAGCACCATTAGTTGGGCGCATTTTGCGACTCAACTTGGAAGTTGCAAATAAAACAAAAGATGAGTCTGAAAGTGAGTGACATAGAGGACTTTGCGGTGATCTTCGCAAATCCCGAGCTTTGGAGTTTCGGGATTTGCTTTCTCTAACTAAGCAGAGTCCACCCCAAATTGGAGATTTGTCAACGCAGGGACATGCATACCGCTATGATAGATGATGGATATTGAGATCGGTGTGTGTAATTGTGTAATTGCGTGCCCGTGTGACTGTGTGTCTATTCTCTCGAGATTTACACTGATTTGGTCAAAGGATAAATGGTGACAACCTCCGTACATCTGTTACTCGTAGTAGTTCGCAGCCAGGGGCGATGAAACCACGTAAAATTTTACCTCCTGAAACAAGGTCACGTGCGCGCTAGAGTGCGATGATGTAGAGATCCAATTTTATTCTTTGATATGTAGATGAAGAGAGCTTGTGGTGATGGTGGGCTGCTTCCCGGTGATGACTTCCAGCCATACAGCCTCGGCGTAATGTCGGACATGCGAATATCAAATTCCATGTGGGTCCCGACGCCAATTATATCCCTAAACTTTACTACTGTATTGGTTGGTATACATTGATGTACAGAGAAGGGGGTGCATATTCCAATTCGTAAGCGCATTTAGATTTAAGCATGGCCCTTGCCCTTTCCAAGGGGGAGCTTAATGCCCGCAACATGCCGCACGCTATCCCAGACACTGTCGGGGACCTTCACGGGGAGTTTGTGTCCCTTCAATTGCTGATCGATCAACCACATTCCGACCACAAATTCTTCTCGAACTAGCAACCCGATGTTTTGGTGATCCACGAGATCCCACACTTGCTCCAGAATCATGTTCGGGAGGCGGCTGCGGGACCAGATCTCGCGAACAACGAGGTTGACGACCATATCTGAAGAATTGCGGGGCCAAGTGCCGTCTTCACACGGGCCGGGGACCCGATCGCTCATGCTGGGGATGAGGAGACCTTTATTCGAGGCCCAAACACCTTCATACCGTTTGCGTTCCTGGTCCGTCACTTCACGTCGCCAGCGCTTACGATCTCCCTCATGGTGCTTGTGGGGGTGTTTGTGAAGGAGGTTTCTGTGTTTTCGATGATCGGCTTCGGTGGGTTTCTGCATGCCGCGGAGGGTCTGCGGCATGCCCTTCTGGGGACTCGGGGTCCTGGAGAGATCACTCTTGGGCGAGTGTGCCAGATGTAGAATGGACCGTGCTCGCCGTCGCTGTGGGGGCAGCGGTGGGGGAACCTTGATTGCCGGGGATGCTCGTGATGATGCGAGGGAGGATGCGACAATGGCATTAGAGAGTGCTTCCTCGCTCATTCCGGTGGACTCATTTAATAGGCTGGGTGTACTAGACTTGTAGGATAACCCTGATACTGAGACCGCACCCGGGGTTGAGGGTGTTGGGGGAGCTCCATGGCTTCTGACAGACCCTCGTGATGGAGGCAACCGTGGTGGAAGTCTGGGTTTTGCGTCTTGTGGTGGTACGGAAGAATACCGGGCCCCGACAGATGGCGGAGGGCTCGAGACGCGATTATCAGGATAATCTATGGTCATCCTAGATTGTTGGGATGGCGGGCGCTCGTAGCTTGGCAGCTCGCGATCGGATCCCAATTCATCCTGCAGCATGCGATCCAAAGGACTACGTCTCCCAGGGACTGGACGAAGAGGAGTTGGGGACCGTAGCTCCCGCTTTTCTGGCTCCGGGTTGGATGTTCGCATCCTGCTTGCACTCCGTAACGCGCCGAGCCTGGCAGCTGACATTGGAGATACTGGCGGCGGCGCACTGGGGTCCCGTGCAGGGGACCTTGACGCAGCGAGTCGGGCCGCAATTTGCTCAGGAGCTGGCGAGAGCGATGAGGCTGAGGTTCGACCTCGCGTGCTCACCGGAGGCGAAAGTGGCCTTGCCGTCAATCTCCCGATCTTGTCCTTCACGGAGCCCACTTCGGGTCCTGGGTCGGATCCGGTCGATTGGCGTACCAGCTCATGATTATCCACTCTGCTTGCAAGTGCCGCAGCGAGAGCGGCTGATGGTTTGTTCTTCACGGGTGATGGATCCCTGGAGTGTCGAAAGGCCAAGGTGGCGCCTTGTCGAGCGGCGTCATTGCGGGACATGGCCAACCGCTGGTTCGCGGATGAAGCGGAATCGCCATTCATGGAACCGATCTCCCGCCGTCGGGTATGTATGTACACTGTAGCTGTTGATGTGATGTGATTAGGCACGATGTGGAGCCCGTGCGCGACCGTCACACGTTGTCAACGTCGAACGTCGAACGTCCCCAGTAACTTACAACTCCCTACAGTACAACCGTTTTGTACACCTTGACTGACCCTATGGACAAATTAGATCAGGAGAAATACTGTTACTTTCTGTGAATTTTACATTAGCTTCGACCAATAACATCAACGATCTCCCTCCACTGCTCTCTCCCCAGATTTAATTAACCGAGGCCGGGGCATTCGCGTTTAAATAGAGACCAATCGCCAATCACCTCTCGTCAGGGTTCTCCGCATCCTTCAAGGCTATTTTTCCCCTCATTTCTGCAACTTTTTGACTTGCTTGGGAATGTTATCTGTCCTTTTGAGGAACTGGAGGCGCCATGCTCTCGGGCAAAGAAGATGCCCAAAGTCCAATTGGACGGGAGATCAGCGTTGAACCGCCAGACGATGATCATGGAGAACGGGAGGACCTGGGGTCAGGCCACGTCCAATGTTCGATCTGCAGCAGCACGTTCCGACGACCTGAACATTTGAAGCGACATCTGCGCAGTCACACCAAGGAGAAACCTTTTGAGTGCGCCCAGTGCGGCCGTCACTTTTCAAGGACGTATGAGACTTCTATCGATCCTGACAGGAGCCAAACTAACATCTAGGATTGCAGTGATACTCTTCATCGACACGAACTGAGCCATCATACACCAGGGAGCGAAGGTGGAAAAGATCGCGCGCACCGGATCACCGTCAAAACGTTCCGAGCATGCTTTAGTTGCGCCACGGCAAGAGTACGATGTAGTGGGGGCATACCTTGTAAAAGGTGTGACACTCGTACTCTCGAATGCCAATACCCAACACAGAGGCGATCCAAAGCGAAAGCCATGAAAGAATCAGACATGCAGAAAGCCGAAACAACCAATAACGACAGCCACAGGTCTGCACGGCCAAAGTTGAAATCTTCTTCTCACATGAGCCAGTTCTCGATCAACCCTCCCAATGAAGGGCTATTGTCCAAGACCCCGATCAACGCATTTTCTACTCCCACAAGTGATCAAACAAAAGAAATACCCCAAAACACGCAGAACACCATCACAGCTGCCTCGAGCTCTCGTTTTTATCTGCCAAATGCAGCGCAAGGGTCATCTACAGGACAGCTTCCAATGGACGTATACCCAGATGGAGATCAAAGCCAGACATATGGAGATTTATCGAATCCTGGCCTCCCGAAACGATTCCCGGTCAACCAACCCACCAACCTAAATCCTGAGATGGGGCGTCTTCAACCGGAAATGACCAGTGAAGCAGTTGACATTGAGATGGCCATGGCACATAACACCGAGGTATCGTTGGAGTTTGATCCTACGTTATTCGACCAGTCCATGCTTTCTACCCTCAATTGGCTGCCCAATGAATTGCTTCCCGGTCCACCTGACCAGCCACAGTCCACTGGTGTTTCCTCCCAATACAATACATCCCTCGGCCAGGGCGCCTACTACTCTGGGGCCATGTGGCAGCCACCGGTTGTCAGCGCTGGACAGATTAGCCCTTTGCGCCCAGGAAATGTGTCTCAGTCTCCCTCTGTGCATGTTTCCCTGGGAACAAACATGGAAAGTCCCAATCAATATTCCCATCCGATGAGCGAGTCCTCCCCACATACTGAGTCAGTAGACTCTGCCAAGCGATCAGCAGATTACTACGTCGATGGCGCTGGAGCCAGACTACCGAAGTATAGAAAAAAACACACGCCTTGGTCGAACTCTTCTGTGGAGCCAATCGATATTGGAAGACAGCTACTGCTAGAAGATAGCGAGCATCGATTCAATTTCCCTGCCATCTCTGAGATAAGAACAGATCAAGTATCAGAAGACGTGGCACATCTCGCCCAACGAATCGGAGCCTCTACCTACGACGAGATATATCGACATTTCATTTTACTCTGCCGCAACGAAAACCCGCTCTTTGATACCTTCGAGACGGATGGCTTTCCTACTGCAGAGGAATGCAACTGGTTCATCGCCTTCTTCTTTGATTCTTTCCAGGCGGTTTACCCGATACTACATCTTCCGACTTTCGATCCTAACACATGCCACTGGCTTTTGACATTGTCGATAGTGGCAGTAGGCTGCCATGTTTCACATATCTCACAGATGGAACAATGTACAAGTGGTTTCCATGAATTAATCAGGCGCGGCATTTATGTCGAGGTAAGCACATTTATTACACGTTATCCTTTTCGGTTACTGATCATTGTGATCTCACAGAAGGAAAAGAGTCGCCATGGTTTGGCTTCTCTCGAACTTTTGCAAGCTATGCTTTTCAATTGCATTGGACTACTTCACAGTAGATATGAGAGAGACAACATCTCAGCTTTGAGCGCATTTGGTGACTTGGTGACACTCATGAAACGAGATGGGCTATTGGAGCCGATTCCAGTAAACTTCAGCGGTGCATCACAAGAAGTAGCTTGGATGTCTTGGATTCAAGATGAAGTCAGAAGGCGCACTGGTTACTGCATATGGGTAAGCCTTGCAGTGAAGATATTATAGCTTCTTACTGACGACATGGTCTAGCTGGTGGATTGTACGCTCGCTTACTACTTTGACGATCGACCACACTTATCCCTAGATGATGGACAAGCCGCCTTACCTGCCCAGGAGAAACTATGGCAAGCAACATCCGCGGAGGCATGGAAGCAACTATGGGAAAACTCATCCAGTACCTTCAATACAGACCCTACAGCCGACCACAGTCTAACTCCTCCAGTGAACGAATCCCTCTACGACGCCGTCCACATCCTCTACATCGAAAAGCGCCTAGTATCCGGAATAGGAGAATTCAGCCACATCCTCCTAATCCATGCCCTTTACCATAGAATGTGGGAAGTCGGAGACTATTTCCGACGCCCCCTCTCCTTCTGGAACCCAACAGCAAAAAAGCAGTCCCGCGAAACCGCCATCCCAACAGGCTCAGTCTGGCTCCCGGGAATCCCCTCCTACTCCAAATGGCGCAACAGCGCCTGCGACTGCCTCGACATCCTCCACTGGACCGCCAACAGCACAATAGCCAAAGCAGAGGGCCTAGAACACGCAACCGTCCTGCACCTCCACTCCGCCCGCCTCTTCCTCCTAGCCCCATTCCGCGAAATGCGCACCCTAGCCCTCTCCCTCGCCACCGAAAAACTCCGCTGGAGCAAACGACACCAGTCCCTCGAGTGGCAGTATATCTGGCGCTGGATGAAACACGACCAATATAAAGCCCGCTTGTCGATTATCCACGCGGGCGTTACTCTCTGGCATGTCCGCCGCTACTCTACAAATGCATTCCATGAACCCCTCGCGGCGTATATTGCCGTCTTAACCCTGTGGGCGTATGGTTCTTGTCATGCACATACATCCCATGAGTCGAGTCCGCATTCGCAGGCCCCGCGTGCCGAGCCGCTTCACGAGCCTAGTTTTATTCATCTTGATCGGCCGTGTGATGATGAGCTTGTGCAGCTGTTTGTGAGGGAGGGCCATGCTATGAGGGGGAATGTTACTGGTGTTGGGGATATCTGTGGGGTTGGGGGCCCTGAGCGGGTTCTGCGCGTTGGATGTGAGATTCTTTCTGGGTTGACGGCTTGGAGTGTTTCGAAGAAGTTTGTGGCTATTTTGACGAGGCTCGCCGATTTGGGTTATTATCATTCTTCTTGGGAGCAGGGTCGTCGTCATGAGGCTGAGCATGTTTGATCTTTGTTGGATGGTTCTGGCGATGTATACTAGTTTTTGTGTATCTTTTCGTTCGCGATATACCCTTATTAATTGATACTTGGCTGTTGTCAATGCTGTTGTAGTAACTCTGGAGTTTCTCCGGGGCCCTCGAGAGAATTGTATGAAATCACGACGCGTGAAGTCTGGTAAAAGACTGATAGATGCGAAGAGACGGTGACTAAGGAAATACTGCTAGAAAAGCACCAAAATGGCAGGAAAAAGCGAAACTGACTTTTTTGGACTGATTTGACCCCAGAATGTTCATTTCGCGCCCAAAAATATATGGAAAATCGGCAAAAAATTAAATATTTCGACGATTCTAAAATGAAAGTGTTCTTAGTCATATGTTTAACATCTACTCATGTATGAGATCACTCTTTAAAATGTCTCTCTTACCTCCCATTTCATCCATTTCTCTGTAGGCCCTGTTGTGTCTCCATAGATCCGCACGGCTCTGCTTATCTCTTATCGGCTGCAGCCTAAAAACATCCGGGGAACTTCTCCAACTTCCCTGGTCTTCTCCCCTCTCTCTCTCTCTCTCTAGACATGGATTCTGACGAAATTATGGGCTCTGGGCCCCATCAGCCAGATATACCAGAGGATCTAGATGAGAAGTGAGCTTCCACATATCAAATTGTCAAGCTCGAAACCACTGACCGATGAATGCGCCAGATACCCCAACAGACCTCACAATCGAGGTCCAACACTTCCATTCCACGATCTCTACATCAATCTCTTCAACCCGCTTAATGAAGTTAAGAAAAAGCCAGCAGGTCCAGCTCCGGTCCGTCGAAAACTCGGACCCCACGGTAAAAGCGCGGCCGGTCTCAACCCATACGAGCGCCGGCGCGATGTGATCGAACGCTTCATTTCACGATGGCGCAAGGACGTCGGCGATGACATCTACCCAGCCTTTCGTTTAATTCTCCCTGATAAAGATCGCGACCGGCCAATGTACGGAATCAAAGAGAAGATTATCGGGAAAATGCTCGTCAAAATCATGAAGATCAACAAAGAATCGGAAGATGGCTACAACCTCATGCACTGGAAGCTCCCCGGCCAAGGTGCCACAGCACGGATGGCAGGCGACTTTGCCGGGCGATGCTTTGATGTTCTCTCGAAGCGGCCTATGCGGACCGACCCGGGCGACATGACTATCGACGAGGTTAATGAGAAGCTGGATAAGCTTTCTGCTGCTTCAAAGGAAGATGAGCAGTTGCCTATTATGAAGGAGTTCTACATGCGTATGAATCCCGAGGAGCTTTTGTGGCTTATTCGGATTATCCTTCGGCAGATGAAGGTTGGTGCTACGGAACGGACGCTGTTTAATGTCTGGCATCCCGATGCGGAGAGTCTATACAGTATCTCGAGTAGTCTGCGTCGTGTTTGCTGGGAGCTTCATGATCCTAATATTCGGCTTGAGGGGGAGGAACGTGGCATTACTGTTATGCAATGTTTCCAGCCTCAGTTGGCGCAGTTCCAGATGCATTCTTTTGAGAAGATCATCTCTCGGATGAAACCTACAGAGGATGATAATGTCTTCTGGATTGAGGAGAAGTTGGATGGAGAACGAATGCAACTCCACATGACGCCCGACGACTCAGTGGAGGGAGGTCGGAGGTTCGGCTTTTGGTCTCGCAAAGCTAAAGAATACACCTATCTCTACGGAAATGGCATCTACGACGAGAACGGTGCTTTGACAAGACATCTTAAGGATGCTTTTGTAGATGGGGTGCAGAGTATCATTCTCGACGGCGAGATGATCACTTGGAATCCCGAACAAGATGCTATCGTCCCATTTGGCACTCTCAAAACTGCCGCATTGTCAGAACAGCGCAACCCCTTCTCCAACGGTCCCCGGCCGGTGTTCCGCATTTTTGATATTCTATATCTCAATGGACGAGATCTCACGAAGTACACTCTTCGCGATCGTCGTAATGCATTGCAGAAAACCATCCGATCTGTTCACCGCCGATTTGAAATCCATCCTTATCAGGAAGCGACCACAACCGCGGAGATTGAGACCGCGCTGCGAACCGTCGTTGCCGAGGCATCAGAGGGTCTCGTTCTGAAAAACCCCCGCTCTCCATACCGGCTCAACGAGCGCCACGATGACTGGATGAAAGTCAAACCAGAATACATGACCGAGTTTGGTGAGTCACTCGACCTGGTTATAATTGGCGGATACTACGGTTCAGGCCATCGAGGAGGCCACCTATCCAGCTTCCTCTGTGGACTACGAGTTGATGAAACCTCCCGTGGATCAGAACCAGAATCCATGAAATGCTGGTCCTTTTGCAAAGTCGGTGGTGGATTCACTGCAGCTGATTATCAAGAAATCCGTCACAACACAGATTCCAAATGGAAAGAATGGGATATAAAAAAGCCACCGACTGAGTATATTGAATTAGCTGGCGGGGATGCCCAAATCGAACGTCCGGATATGTGGATCAAACCCTCCGACTCGGTTGTGCTGTGCGTGAAAGCCGCGTCTGTGGCGGCTAGTCCAACATTCCGTATGGGGTTGACATTGCGTTTCCCTCGCTTTAAGAAACTGCGGAAGGATAAGGATTGGAAGAGTGCTCTTTCGGTCCAGGGCTTCCTTGATCTCAAGTCCAATGCAGAGCAAGAACATAAGGAGAAAGAGTTCTCTGTGGATAATTCTCGGAAGAAGCGAGCGAAGAGAACCACCAAAAAGCCTATGGCGGTTGCAGGATATGACCAAAATGTTAATTTGCAGGACCTTGGTCCTTCTGGGCATGTGTTTGATGGGCTCAATTTCTGTGGGTGGCTTGGCCAACTTTGTTCTAGTCGTATCATGCTAACAACGGCATACTAGTCATCATGAGCGAGTCAACCGTCCCGGAAAAGAAAACGAAGCCTCAACTGGAACACCTTGTGAAGACTAATGGTGGCAAGGTCTTCCAGACCAAGGCAGCCGCAGCAGATATGATCTGTGTCTCCGAACGAAGTGAGCCTCTAGTGAACCAGTATAAGCAAGTATAGACTGACATGGCTTTCACAGGGACGGTCAAAGTAGCTTCATTGCAGAAGAGTGGAGATCAAAACATAATTCGACCATCCTGGCTTCTCGATTGTCTCAAGCAGAATGAAAAGGACGCAGGCTTGCCCGACTTCCTTCTACCATTTGAGCCCAAGTATGTCCCCGCAACAGTTATGAAACATTAGTAAATGAATGCTTACAGCTTCGATAGACACATGTTCTTCACAATGGAGGATAAGGAAGAAGAAATCGCAGCAAATGTCGACAAATACATGGACAGCTATGCCCGCGATATAAATGTCGACGAACTGAAAGAGGTATGACTCCATTTAGAAACCCCTAGGGTACTTCATTAACATTTATCCACCCATGTAGATCTTCAACCAAATGAACAAAAATCAAGACCAGCCTAACAGTCCCCTCGACCCAACCACCATCCAAAGAATCGAATCCCAGATCCAAGACAAAGTAAATGCGGGTTACACAGCACCGCGCGGCTGGCTCTTCCGAGACCTCACCTTTTTCTTCTACACCCGACCCGATGAATCCAACGGCGACGAACAAACAAGGAAACATATCCGTCTCCGCCTCGCTCAAAACACAGCCCGATTCGCAGGCGCGCAAAGTGCCGCTTCCTTAAAGGATTCAGGTATAACACATATTGTGATCGATACCGAGTCTTCATTCTCAGTAGATCTCCCCTCTGTCCGGAAATCTCTAGCTGAGAATCTGGGTAAGAAGTTGCCGCATATTGTTAGTGTTGATTGGGTTGAGGAGTGTTGGAAGCACGGGACTTTACTAGATGAAGAAAGTAAGTTTGAACACCCCTTTGAAATTCCTTTAGGTATGTTATATGAGCATTTCTCAAAATTGGTGCTAACATGATTCATGTTGACAGGATTCCAAGTTCGGTGATGATAAGAAACTGAGTTAGGTTAGTTACACTTGACTGAGATATGCGTTTTACGCACTGGCGAAAACCATTTATAGTCCTATGTTTTATACGACGAATGAAGGCCTATCTATTATCAAAGATAGGGTTGATAAGTAACTAAATAGACGAATAACATGAACTAACCGTAGGCTACATCAAGAGAAAAACAAAAGAGTCGCCGGGTACATTTTGATAAGCTTTCTTAGGTTCACAGCCTTTTATATCACTGGCATTCTGGTTTTAGGAATGGCCCACCCCTTATAGTAGCTCATTGCATTGCTACTATAAGGGGCGGGCCATTCCAGCTGCCTCGCCACTTGTACGTTCAATAAGGCTGACACCTGGGGAACGTTATCATCACAAAGTTATCATACTACCTAGGTAGGTGCCTAGCTAAATATAAACCGAAATCTATATAAAGCCTATCATCCCACAAGGAGGCGTACCACGGCCCCCAACACCTAGCCCACGACCGGACTATGTACCGCTAAGCAGGTAAGTTATCCGGCCGAAACCTTCAGGTGATTCTTGGCAGTACATGTACTGACGGAGATATGAGGCAAGAAGGAAGCTAGACTCCATATTCGAACTATGCTAAGTGTATAAATACGAGTACCGGCGTGACCGGTTTATTTACTCTAGACAGAGCATGGATGTGAACAGGCTTTAACCTGAAAGATAAAGAGGCCCATCAAGCCACGCGGGGTAATCGATTTCATGGCTGACGATGATATCATAACATAGATTAAATATCGAATTCTAGCTTGTTCTGGAGATATACTGGATGAGATGTTTTAAAGTGATTTTAGAATTTGTTTTAGAATTGATACCTAGGGCGATCAAATGATCGAAGGAAAGAATGAAGGGGTATGTAACACAAGAAAGGAAAAGATGTGTCGGCCAGGACACGCTTATCAGGTCTAACGCCACGCTTGTAGAGAATCATCAAAGAGAAAAAGGAGTATGGTATGTACGGGTGAAGTGCCCAAAGGAGACTCCTGCGCTCCGCGCTAGGATGGTCTAGGCTGAGACACCGACCCAACGAGACGGAACAGTGTCATTGTCGTCACAGTCTTCGTATTGGCCTGACAGGCGACTGTTGGTTTTCCGGGCTGGAAGCCAGATGCGAGCGCGAGTAGGGATGTCATCGCGGAGTTTGCCGCAGCGACGCATGTTCATTTCCAGGACGACCACACGGAGGAAGTTACTGTTTTCCCGAGGTTCACGTTGGCGTGACATTTGGGGAACTTCCGGGTCGAATGTGAACCGCTTATCGCGGCTGGCGATGTGGAAATTGTTTCGTCGATGGCTGCGGCCGCCGGTCCGGCGATAGGTCTGCATTTGGATAGAGACGGGGCATGCACTGGCAGCCTCTAGTGTCTCGTGAGGGTGGTCGTGGTAGACATGCATCTCGGCCGGGGACATCGGGGTTGGGTTGAGGTATCTGCGCAATGCTGGAGATGGCGTTTCCTGCATCGGAAGTGGGCGTCGATCATCGGTTAACTCCGGGGCAATGGTAAAGAGAGACCGAGTGAGGAAGTCCTCTGGTTGAACGGAGGGTGTGGCAAATGTGGAGACTGAGTGCGCAGCGAATTTAATAGCCCGTAATGATGCCGTCAAATTGGACTTGAACGTAGAGCCGAAACGTGGGAAAGATCCGAGCGAGGCAGATCGCTTCGTAGGGGCTGAACCGGGAGCCACAGGCTCATCATCCTCTTGGATTTCGATGACTTCACATTCATCAAGTTCCGTTTCGAGAAGAGGGTGGTCTGAGGCACACTCCTCGGAATGGAAGTACCGAAGCTGTCGCCTTTCAAGTGGGCTTTTCTGGCTACCCGGGGTGGTTGGCTGAGGCAGGCTGGACGGTGATGCGAGGCCGTGTTCTAGTGAGGGCATTGAATCACTTGATATCGACCTGAGCGACAACGGACTTTCTTGCTCAGATTCATTCCCGATGAGTTTGTCGTTTTCTTCATCAGGTGGACTGAGAAGGATGTCCAGAGGGGAGTTGCTGGTTCCATCGAGGAAATGATCTTTGGCTCGGACATTTTCCCGCAGCATCCGGTTGAAATCCTCGACATGGTTGCCGCGAGGAAGTTTCCTTGGCCTGCGTGTAGACCAGTTTCGTCGTGGCACGGGGATGGCCGTCGCATCTAGCATCGAGGTAAATGACGTAGGAATGTGGCGTTCACTAGATGAACTAGAAGACGATCGACGAGAAGCTTCGGATGTTTTGGAAGGAGTACGAGACCGACTGCCCTGATGCCCTGACATCATCCGCGAGCCTCGCTTTGGGGGAATTACCACCGGGGTGGTGCTGTTTGGTCTGCGGGTCTCGGTCTTTGTGGCGGGGCCATGAAGGCCGGGATAATCCGAAGAAGGAAATGGCTTCATGCCAGAGTGGAAGGGCTTCTGCGGCGGTGCCGAGCTGAAGAGGAAGGCTCTAGGGACCATCATTTTATAACGATATCACCAGAAGTCCACAGTTCAGGTCGAGGCCTTGGCCGGATGAGGCACTCTGGTCGAGTGTCTGAGCGAGATACATGGATGTAGGAAGAAATGGTGGGATATCAAAATCTCCCGTCGCGGTATCAGACGGGAGACCGGTAGCCAATCCGAATGTAGGTTGGGCAGGCCCGAGGAGGAAGTGATGCAAAGCGGATGGGCAGCCGTGAGACAAGGGTATGCAGGGACGCACGCGACCTGATAAGCTGATAGGGCGATAAGAGAGGAAGGAAGAGTTGCAGAGTCGAAGATTTGAAGGATTTGAAGAATAGAAGAGTAGAGGGGGAGAGTGGTGAGGAGAGTGGTGAAGAGAGTAAGGAGAAGGGATTGAAGGAGGTAGATATTGAAAGGAAGGGAATAGCCCTGGGGAGCAGATAAGGGCGGGTAAGGGTGATCTCAGCCACGCCGTATTGGGCAGGTAAGAATCCCGGGGATCTCGGATGACCGTATTTTACCAAATTACAGCCAGATTGATTGGTTAGTAATACAATGCCGTGTTCCGGTATGGTTCACCGTACGCAATTCCTATTACTCATGGAACATTCCGCCGGTGGAGTCCGGAACACTCTGTGGGATTTGCCCTATTTTTTTCGTCTTTTTCTTTTTCTTTTTTTTTTTTCTATATTGCACAGTTTTACCTATTTTCATCTTTGCTTCTGACACGTAGACTTGGCTTTACAATTTGCAATCAACTGCAATACATATAAACAAATAAGATATGACTCATTACATCTTACATATCCATGTACAACTGGCGTGCACCTATACACTTAGCCGCAATCGTGTGTTGAACTCGGGTGGGCCCTTTAAGGTTGCTGTTAGTGCAGTGCCGGCAGATGCACACCGTTCTCCCCAGAAATAGAAGAATTCCATCAATATAAACATTATTTTGATTTACAATGGTGTACCTGATACATGTACTTCTATGTTACACAATACGTTATCTCTTGAATATTTAACAACTAATGATAAACATGTCACATTGATAGATCGCCAGGAACCCCAACGGACTCCCTTCCCCCGGTTACTTTGGAGTATAAATGAGATGCGGGTGGCTGCAGATGACCAAAAGAGTAAGTCGAGACGTGGCCAGTGGGCCTTAGCGAGTGTGCGGTGAACCCCTATTTCTCACTATATTCTCGTGGCGTTTTGGCTGACATTGCAGCCTAACCAAATAAGAAAATAAGAAAATTGGTTTCTTTTGGTCTCTCTTGGATATCCTTGGTCATCGACGAGTCTGTCTGTAGATCGCGAATAACGTAGATTAGGAAATAAGGGGAAACAAACTATAAGACCCACAAAATTCCTTACACAATCCTTGTTTGACAGGCAAATCTCACAGGGGAAAACAGCAATACAGTAGCTCCTTTCTTGGCTCAATACGAAAATCTCAAAAAGCAATACTCGAGAGGCTGGTGGAGCTTTACAGGTCACCGCCATAAGCGAAGATAATGCGGTGAACCGACAACAGTTTCATTTTTGTGCGCATGTGGATATACGGGACGATTAGGCTTAGTCATGTGCTGTTTCTGATTGTACGGAGTATTACAGATTCTTCACTGTAACCCTGTCTCCGCATAGGGTTAAATCCGGGAAATAGTATCCAGACAATCCATTGTTAGCTCTCAGTTATGTCTCTTCATAGGAACTAAGTTAAAATTGAATTTGTAGTTGCACTCTGTACACTCTATACTTCAAGACTCTTAAGGTGCTGGCACGTGAGATGACTAATGGCATCTTATCGAGCGCCCGCATCACAGCTGAACAGCCATCCAGAGGCCTGCGATAGCATCTTGCATCGTTGCTTGCATCCAATCAATTTCGGTGCATATCCAGCTTCTCACGGCCGAAGCTTTGAATCTGATCATACATCTATCCCCCGCCTCCACTGCGGGTCATGATCGTGGGGTTGATTCAATCCTCATTGCCAACCGGCTTGTGTAGATCATAGGTGCGACATTCCCCGTGCCAAGTACTCACTCCAGCTTGTCGCTTGCCGACGGTATGAAGGTACTGCGATTTCCAGGGCACTTGGACTAATATGCTGCCAGGGCTATTGCATCTGGCAAACTGTGATATCTGACTCACGAGCATGATTCCCGGAAGATGGATGTAGCATGCATGTCGAGAATTGGACCAGTAATCGCCAGACACGAGGCTAAGCATACGATGTGATTCCGCGGAGAAAGATCCATCTACCATCAAACCCCAGTCGCGCCTATCAAACTATCTGAAATTATGAGCGAAGGTACCCAACCGTCTAAAAGACGGTGCGTCAGCACTGCGTGTGTTGCATGTCGCAGAAGGAAGTCAAAGGTATGGCTTTTACTTCGAGCAAGAGTCTACGCCACTTTGCTAATTACATCTGGCTGCAGTGTGATGGGAATCTACCCAGTTGTGCAGCTTGCTCCTCCGTCTATCATACGCCATGTATGTATCTCTTAGGAAAGCAATAGCACCAACCCTAACCCTTAATAGGTGTATATGATCCCAACTCGGATCACCGTCGCAAGGGGGTATACAAAAAAGATACCGACACACTGCGAACTAAAAACACCACCCTCCACACCTTGATCCAGGCAATCTTAAATTATGACGAAGCAGATGCCTTCGAACTGGTCCGCCAGATTCGATCCTGTGATGACCTGGAAGAAGTAGCAGAAGCAGTGACTGCCCAAGAGAAAGGGCTCCTGTCTGCACCCCAAGCAACAAAAGAGCCAGCAGGCGATGATAGTGCTGGGATCGATCAGTTCGAATCAGAGCTCGCAGGTAAGATGAGTGAATTGATGCTCGACGGTTCTCGCAAATTCATTGGCGGTACCTCAAACCTCATCTTTCTGCCCTCCGGCTCGGAGCTGCAGGAGTCAATTTCGAACCCTTTCGGTGTAGATCAGGTACACACCGTGAGCCGATGGACGGAAGTTACAAAAGATGACTCGCTAATCAGTCATTTGATGACTATGTATTTCACGTGGCACTATCCGTTCTTTACGATTCTTTCCAAGGATCTGTTCTACCGGGATTATATTCGTGGTGTGTCCAGCTCATACTGTTCTGCATTGCTAGTCAATGCTATGCTGGCCCTTGGTTGCCATTTCAGCTCATGGCAAGGTGCTTTTGACGATACCCATAATCTCGCTACAGCAGGAAACAATTTCTTCAAAGAAGCGAAGCGGCTAGTTCTGGAAAATGACGAGCACGAGAATGCAAAGCTCTGCACCGTGCAAGCCTTTGCACTCATGTCTGTCCGAGAAGCGGGATGTGGTCGTGAAGGAAAAGGCTGGGTCTACAGTGGCCTCAGTTTCCGCATGGCTTTTGATCTCGGGCTGAATCTCGACTCAAAGAACCTCGGATCGCATAATCTGAGCGACGAAGAAATTGATGCTCGACGGATCACTTTCTGGGGTTGCTATCTAATCGACAAGTAGGTTTCCTTTCTCAACTTCTCGGTCATGTTCTAACACAAGACAGATGCTGGTCGAATTACCTTGGACGTCAGCCTCAATTGACTTCTACCACCACCAATGTGCCCAAATTTGATGTCTTGCCGAGAGAGGAAACAGAGCTCTGGTCGCCGTACACTGATTCTGGTGTGAGCCACGAGCATACGCAGATATCTCGGACTAGGGCTGTGGCGCTTCAGATATCTAAGCTGTGTGAGATCAGTGGTGACCTACTGGTATTATTCTATCACCCAGCTGAACTGGAAAAGATCCAGCCCAAGCAGTCGGAATTGAAGAAATTAAGTGACGTCCACACTCGTCTTGAGGCATGGAAAAAAGAATTGCCCAAAGAACTGGAAGCGAAAGAAGGACAATTACCTCAAGTACTTGTCATGCAGTAAGTTTCCCCAAGCAGTAACCCATGCCATCTTACTAATTATTGTCCAGCATGTTCTACCAGCTCCTGATCATTCACCTGTACCGCCCCTTCTTGAAGTATACCAAGGCCAACACTCCTCTCCCGTCCCATGTCTCGCCTCGCAAAATATGCACACAGGCCGCGGCAGCCATTTCCAAGCTCATGCGTGTATACAAACGCAGCTATGGACTAAAACAAATCTGCAACATCGCAGTCTACATCGCTCATACAGCATGCACAATCCACCTCCTCAACCTCCCCGACAAAAACGCCCAAAGAGACGTCATCCACGGCCTCAAAAATCTCGAAGAAATGGCCGAAGGCTGGCTCTGTGCCCGACGAACCCTCCGGATCCTCGACATATCCGCAAATAAATGGCAAGTCGACCTACCACCAGAAGCAACATCCATATTCGAACGAACCCACACGAAATGGGGATCATGGGGCTCCTGGGACCAAGCAACCTCACCCTCCACATCAGACGACTCCTCCCCAATGGCAACATCAGCCACCTTCCAACCCTCCACCAGCCCAAGTAGATTCTCAGCTGGGCCGTCCCAATATCCTTTAACCCGACTCACCGACCCATCATCTCTCCCAACAAACCCCGTCACAATGGTCGGTCCAGCGTCATTGAACCCGCAACACGCCTCTACACCTTCAGTCCCGCTACCCTTCCTATCAATGCAAGCAGCACACCACTCACTAGCACCGCAAGCCCAAAGACCCGAGTTCGCTCCACCCGAACCGACATACCTCCGCCCATCAGTAACGTACCGATTCCCTGCTATGACAGTGAATGCACCCTCTCCATCATCTTCACATCAAACCTGGTACGATGGTATCGGCACTCAAATGCCACCGCAGAATACAACACCTGCGTCTACTGCATCTCCCGTGTCTGGATACGATGGCACGGATAATCTAGTTGAAGAGAGTCAGGATTGGTGGTCTAGGAATGCTGCTGTTTATAATGGTATGGGCATGGATGGGTGGGGCGGGGCTTGGAATTCACCTGGTCAGGGTCAGGGTCAAGGTCAATCCGCTCAGATTCATTATCCGAATGGGAATGTCGGGCCCGTTCATCAGCCTTCTGGACCGGGTCCTCGTCCTGAGCAGCAGTCGAGAGTCTCGGTTAGTATTTCTGCTGTTGGATCTCCGGTTGATTCTAAGACTCCTGGTTATGAGGATCGGTGGACGTGATTTTTGAGTTTGTTATTTTCGGGTTTATATGTTACCATTGGTCGTTTTTGTAGTTGTTGTTTTGTGATACCACCAGTTGGGAGGGGTTGTTGTATTTAGGCGTAATACACTTTTATATATTGCATATGTCTTGAGTGAGATAGAATTAGAGTTATCCGAGACGAGATTACCTATTACTCTGCAAATATTGAAATCCAAGCCATTCCATTGAAATTCCTGTGAGGGATTCAACTGTATTTTCGCGCAGACGGAGTATAAAAACCTCGAATCCTCCTAAGCAAGACAACACAACCACACCAACTCACTCAGTTCTTTTAACAATCTTCGGCAAAAGCAACCAACTAATAGCCATAACCCCATAAAGTCCAATACAAATAGGATGCAAAACCATAGTACCAACATTCTGCGCAAGAATACCAGTAAAGAAAGGCGAAACCGCGCCGCCACTACTCCCCAACGCACTAACAAAGCTCAAACTAGACATATGCATATTGCGCGGAATTAGCTTCGTAAAAACAGACGTTGCACAAGGGTAAACAGCCCCCAACAACAAACCCAAGATAGCAACCGAAACAGCCTCACCAATAACATTCGGAATAAGCCAAGTAAGCAGCTGGAACGCCACAGCTCCGGCTATCATTCCCACAACAGCAATCTTCTCGCCGAGCTTAGAGGCCGGGTGTGTTAATAGAAATCGGCCTGCTGTAATGCCCGCCCAGAATCCGGCACTGACGTAGCCGACTCGTGTTGGATCGCCGTTTCGGTAGCTGATTAGGAATGAGACGACCCAGCCGGAGACGGAGACTTCGGCGCCTTGGTAGGCGAAGATGAATAAAGCTCCTAGGAGGGTTGTACGGTTCCGCAGGGACTTCTTGAGAACAGCCGTTCGGGATAATGGCTCGGTATCTGAGGATGTACCTGCACCAGCCCGAAGAGCAACATGCGCTTCGGCAGAAGCATCATCCTCAAATTTCCAAAATGCCCACATGGCAAAGAGCAAATTAACCGCCGCGACAGCCAAGGTAATGGCATAAAAGAACGACCACCGTATCCCCGCAGAAACCATCGCAGTAGCAAACAACGGCGCAACAATACCGCCGATACCGTAAGACCCGGTAAAAAGGCCCAGGGCGGTCGTGGCATCAGCCAGATTGGCACAGTAGACATTACTCAAGGCGAGACTAAGCGCCATCCCGAAACCCAGTAGGAAAAAGCATGCCACGACAGCCGGGAAGGGTGGTTCACAGACGATGACGATATAGCCCAGGACCTGCAATGCCAGGGCAAGAGCGTAGCTCTTTGCGCGGCCGAGCTTGGCCTCGATGGAATGTGTGAATGGCGCTGCTAGGATGAAGCCGAAGGCGTTTGTTACGAAGATTAGGGAGACAATTGCGTAGCCGATTGAGTAGTGTTTTTCGATGTAGGGGATTAGGGCTCCTGGCGCGCTGTCGTTCATGCCATTTCCTAGGCTCATTAGACAGACGCTTAGCATTCGCCATTTTGTTTTCCAGGTGCTGGCTGTTCGGTCTGGGGCCCATTCTGTTGGGGTGGGTTGGGTGTTTGGTGAGATATGTTGCTCTAGTTCACTTGGGGTGGGGGAGGATGGACTTCTAATATTTTCGGCTATGTATGATGAGACTGGCTGGATGATGTTCAGCTCGTAGTCGGACTGGGACTGGGACTCGGTGCTTTGCTTGTTGCTGCGAACTGCTAATGGCGGACTGGTGATTCGAGAGGTGCTCTCGATCTCGAGGAATGCGTTGAAACCTGAGGTGGCCATTCTGGAGGATATTGATCAGGTCAAGACCGGCGCAGAAAGAAAAACCCTCTATTTGGGTTAGTTGGTCTTGGATGCTCTAGGGTGGTATTTCTTATTAGCCCTCGAGCCTCTGGGAAACCATATTCCGCATGTCCTCACTTTGAGTGTCGGACTAGATCGAAAACATATAATGCCTTTCTCTATGTTCCTGCTAAAATAAAAGACAATAGTTGTCAGTCAAAAGAAGGACCTTGTAGTACTGTCAGACATATACTTGCGGGAGGGAAAACTCAAATTTCCGAAATTCCTTCCTTCCTCTGCAACTCAACACAGCTACATCAATTGCCTCTACACTCCCTTTTTATACAAAGGTACTAATTGAAAATGGGCCCCCCTCGCAGAAAGATGCTGGCAACAGCAGAAGAAACCCTCACACCCCCCGACTCGCTCTCCGACACCCAACAGATCGTGCGCGCAATCAAAGCCACCGGAAACAACATCTACCTGATCGAACACACAGACAAGAGCCAGGTGCTGGTCGAATTGCCCGCACGGTTCCGCTCCACCATCTGGATCAAGCGTGGCTCGTATGTGGTTGTCGATACTAAGGGCCAGGAGGAGCGGGATAATAAAATTCGCGGGGAGATTGTCAACGTGGTTAGGGATGAGAAGGCTTGGAGGAAGGCTCCTTTCTGGTAGGTCTTGAACAGGCTTTTCATACGGAAGATGTTAGAGAGAATTGTGCTAACTGATGATTTCTTAGGCCTAAGGAGTTCGTGAAACAGCCTGCTGTCGTCGCTGCTGACTCTGATGATGAGGAAGAGTCTCGTGTTGGTCAGATGCCTTCGTCGGACGAGTCAGAATGAATTGCATGATGGCCTCCACGTGCATCGACTTGGTTCGACGGCTGCGGCTACAATTGAGTATTTGGGGCTACCAAGACTGGTTCTGAAATCTGTTACGCCTCGGTTATGAACCGAGGCCAGGTGCTTTCTTCATTGGACTCGCGCCTTACTGCGGCCGCTTTTGTCACTCTTTCCCTCTGCCTCGCCTAACCCATTGAGATATACACCAAAGACCTGAACCGCGAGCGATAACACCACAACCGCCGAGCTTGCGTTGGTGCTTGGGAAAACGTTCCACGCCCATTCCTGTAACGCCCACACGACATATATAAGAACAGGATGCAGACCTGCCCGCCAGAGCAGGAACGGAGTGGCCCATGCGAGGTACGCAAAGAACTGATAATGCAAGGACCTAGCGCAGAACAAGCCTATGGCTAGTGAACTCAACATCACAGTCATGATGAATGATTTTGACAGGGAAACTGTCTGCTGGCGTCCCTGGAGAGTATCTTGGAGGAAGCGGAACATGTTTACACCGGATGGTCTCAGCCAGGTTCCGACGAAGATAGCCAACAAGGATATATGCAGTACTAGCAGACCCAATGAGAATTCCCTCGAGAGAAATGTTTCTTCGCCTACGAAGCGCCAGTTGACTGTCCATTTGAAAAGGAACTGTCGGGATAGCTCGAATGCTCGAGAGAGGTAGCCTGTAGCGTTGGTTTGGAGGAAGGGGATTGCGAGCAGGATCTGTAATTTCTCGTGTTAGTCAATGGTTCAGGACGCAACTTAGATACTTAACACCAACCTGGATAAGGACCGCCACGGCTCCGAGCGAGATACTCCGTGCCAGCCCCCAACTGAGAAGAGTAAGAACCGCAATGGCCGGCACGAACAACACAAGCGTCATTTTAATCGCCACGCCGAACGACCATATCGCAATCCCAGCCGTCCATTTGCGTCGCAGACACAGGTATATAGCAACCCACATAGCAAAAGCAGCAACACCATCATTGAACATGCGCAAGACGAAGATACTATGAAGCCGTTTCGACAGAGCCAGCAGCGGGAAGAGATACGGAGGTGCTCCAGTCTGTCTGTAGCAGGCAATGACGACAATCAGGGTAGCCAGGTAGAGCACGGCAAACAGCGCTTGGCCGAGGAGAATATCACGGCCTCCATCGGTGATGTGGAAGAGGAGTGTGTAGATGTATAGGTGGGCAGCGGGGTAGACGAGCGGGCCTGTCGAGCCTTTGATTAGGGTGTAATCGCGTTCGCCGGAGATATATAGTGAGATCTGTTGCATGTATGTTGTCCAGTCGATCTCAGTGTCTGTGGTTGGGGGCGTGGTTAGCTTGATTGTACTTTGCGATGGACGCGACGACTGGCGCGGTCTTACAGGCGATCTTCCATATGACGAGGGCGCAGAGGAGTGCGTCGCCAAGAATTAGGAGCGGTGCTATCCATCTTGTGTGTCTTTGGTTGGTGAGCACGTCGTATGCGAAGTTTTTGGCTGTTAACGCCATGACGAGGTGTGGTTGACGGGGGAATGTTCAAGGTGGCCGGAGGTGGTCCGCTAGCGTCTGGAGGGCGAGTACTGTACATTTGAGGAACATATCTGTCTAGTATGTCATTTCCGATTGATGTCTTGTCTATTTTGAATAGTGTGTTATTGTTTTATACATCTCACTGTACATAGGGAATACATAGGTCTAGCTCGGGACCTCAAGCAGGGTCTTTACTCCAACATCCACCAATTCAATCCAATCAATCCTTATTGTCACAGTCCATGGTATCATTAAACAAGTCAAGAAACAAAATGCAAAATTCAGGGAGTGTGCGATTGCACTCATCGATCTCCCTCGGACAGGCCGCTAGGCTGGACATTCGCTTGAACATCGCGGAATCCAAGCAATTGGCCCAGCACACCCTTCGGCTTGGGAACAGGACATTCCCGATTGATGTGCGAAAGGGTTTCTGCTTCCTCTTGCATCTGGAGGAAGGTCGAGACCTCCTCGTCCACCGGACCAGCTGGTGTCGGAAGACCTGGGCGACCGGCCTCGGGGTCCGTTTCGACCTCTTTCCGCCGTCTCCGTTTGATGCGTGGTACTTGTTGCCCGTCGGCTGTGATAGTCATTTCTGAATCGGCAAAGGTGCGTCGTGGGGCCGGGCAGGGGAAGACGTGCGGCATGCCGACCACAACGAGGGATGCGAGTAGGGTGCCGGCGAAGAGACCCATTGTCGACCGTGACTTAGGATGAAGATGAGGCGGCATTGTGTAGGAGTGCTAATGACGAGTATCGAGGGGAATTGGAGGTGAAGTGGGCGTGGCCGGCTGTTATAAATTTTTCAGGCCATCGGAGGACCTCGGGATATAGGTGTAGTCGAGTAGCGGATGAGGTCGAAAGGAAGCCAATTGGATATTAAAGCGGAATTCTCCAGATTGACAAGCATCCGAGAGTGTCGATGAGGTGGTGAAACTGGAAGAAGAGAGGAAGAGACAGCGCAGACATCTAATCTTATCTGGGTCCCGCGTGATTGGATGTTCCGCCCTCAAGTCTCTTCTTCTGCTGCATCGCGACGATGAGTCTTTGTTCAAGCTCCGATTGAGCCATCTGATTTGTTGTTTTGCGAGGGGGTCTTTAGTTTCTGATACCCATTCCCTCTCCCCTCCATCCCTCCGCTCTTAACAAGATGAGCGACCTGGACCGGTATGCCTAACCCGTGTCTCATCGTTGATCCCACTAACCGTGTCTGACAGGGCGATCGAGCAGCTGCGGGCCTGCCGCCTGATCCCCGAAAGCCAAGTTCGCGAACTGTGCTACAAAGCGCGCGAGCTCCTGATCGAAGAAGGCAATGTCGTCTCCGTCGACGCGCCCGTCACCATCTGCGGCGACATCCACGGCCAGTTCCACGACTTGATGGAACTATTCCGCGTCGGCGGCGACGTCCCCGACACAAACTATCTCTTCATGGGCGACTTTGTCGACCGAGGCTTCTACTCCCTCGAATCCTTCCTCTTACTCCTCTGTCTGAAAGTCCGATACCCCGACCGCATGACCCTGATCCGCGGCAACCACGAGTCGCGCCAAATCACAACCGTATACGGCTTCTACGATGAATGCATCCGTAAATATGGTAGCGCCAACGTCTGGCGCTACTGCTGCGAGGTCTTCGATTACCTGGCCCTGGGGGCGATCGTGCTCGGCGCGAGCTCGGAGCTCGAACCCACCGCATCTAACATACCACAATCCTCAATGCCCATCGATGATAGCGAGCTAGAAACAGAAGTGCTTAACTCTCGAGGTGAGGTTACTATGAGTACTTACCGCCCACGCCAGCGCTCCTCCTCCGACGCATCTACAGACTCCCGAAACATCTCCCCGCCACGCGACATCGCCGCCCCAGGTCAGGCTGGCGCGCCGTCACGAACAGGTGCACCAGGGACAGGCGCAAGTAGTGATGGAAATGGCAGCGCCATGACCAGCCAGACTGGCGCCGTGCTTTGCGTGCACGGTGGATTATCACCACTCATCGACTCCGTCGACAAGATTCGGCTGATCGACCGCAAACAAGAGGTGCCGCATGAAGGTGCTATGTGCGATCTTCTCTGGTCTGATCCGGATGAGATCGAAGGTTGGGGTCTGAGTCCTCGTGGAGCTGGTTTCCTCTTTGGTGGTGATATCGTTAAACAATTCAACCATCTCAACGGACTCTCCCTTGTTGCGCGTGCCCACCAGCTTGTCATGGAGGGCTACAAGGAGATGTTCGATGGTGGTATTGTTACTGTTTGGTCTGCACCAAATTACTGCTACCGCTGCGGTAACGTCGCTGCTATCCTCGAATTGGGCGAAGACGCTAGCGGTGGCGGAACTGTTGCTCGCAGTAACGGTGAATATGGCCGGAGCAATGGACTCGCTGCACAGAATAGAGTCGTCAGTCCAGGAAGGAGGTACCGTGTCTTTGAGGCTGCGGCACAAGACACAAGGGGAATGCCTGCAAAGAAACCCGTCGCTGATTATTTCTTGGTAAGTTGTTTTTGCTTTCTTTTATACCAGTTGGTTGCAATTACTCTACTAACGTCGTCTAGTGATACCATCGAATGCCACCTTTTTTTTCGTTTTATAGGATTCTCTTGGAAGTAGCATTTTGCGTCTTGGTGTTGGTATTTGATGATAATTAATGATCATCTATGAATATTTTGATACTTGCACTTCATAGCATCTCAATTTTGGTCCTGCTATATCTTACGTATTCATGTGTAAACGAGTACCCTTTCGTGCACCCCGAAAAGCTTAGCATTTACGCATCTGCAGTGCTACTGACATAGTAAGATCATATCCGAATGAGAACTTTTAAGATGACGTCTTTTGCCCGGGTAGTAACACGGCATTAAGAGGCATTAAGACGAATAACAGTGCCTTTATCTTTTGGTTCAAAAATAGTCATCAACCTGTTGATATTTTTATAGAACTAGGTCACCGACGAATAACGATACGGGCCCTAGCTCCAGCGAGTTTGAGTTTGTCTTGTTCAAACATGCAGTTTACGCAAGAGAACGATGGGAAATCTTCACCGGCGACTAGGATTTGGCTCGAAGAGATAAAGGGCGGCTTAAAGCACCTCCACTAGTTCATGTTCAGGGCTATTCATTGCCGAAAACACTTTGCCAGTCTTCCAATGTTCCCGTCGGCAAATGTCTTTCTAGGGAGCGGCCTGACTTCTTAGCTAGTTTGGCAATGGTCTGCTTATGGACCCGGGGCATTTGTAGGAATTTGTTCTGGGTTTCATTCATCGGGCTCTGATTCAGATCAGAGGGTCCAATCAACAGATTGGCAAACCTAACGAACGTCGACATCACGAAAGTCTCGTCAAATGTAGACTAATATAAGGCTCACAATTTTTCAGGGAATAAAGAAACTGAAAAAGATAATTTATGAGGTATCGAAAACTTCTAATCCTTGAGTGCAAGCGCATCTGTGATTCTCCGCAGAGCCTCATTCAAATACTCCCGTGGCTGGGAGAACACAATTCTGAACCATCCAGGATGCTCCGACCCGAACAGGTCGCCGCTGGCCAGAAAAACCTTCTTTCTCAACAGGACTTGCATGACTTTGTCACTAACGTCTTCGATATTTCCCCCCGGGTGGAGCTGGCAGTACTTCTTCCCCAAGTTAACCCAAAGGAAGAATGCCGCGTTGCAGCCTTGTGCATATTCAATATTATGGCCTCTGATATACTGGACTGCACAAGTATATGACTCGGACAACTTGTCCCTATTTCGTCGTATATATTCGTCGGTAAAATCGGAGTCTTCCAGCAGAAGAGAAGTCAAATGGTCAGAAACTCCAGACGCGTAAGAGTATAAAGAGATTCCTTTCAAGGCCTGATGAAGGTCACTGTTAGACTGCGAGATGATGACGCCAAGTCGAAGTCCATTTGCACCAAAGTCCTTGCTCATGCCCCATAGTACATGAACAAGCCGGGGGTCAATGATACCATTCAGATCAATTGACAAAGCCGATTCAAACTCGACGGGGGGGTGAAGCTGATCATCCACGGTGTTTTTCCAAACGGAGAGCGCGTATATTTCATCACTGATGAGATGTAGGTTGTACTTTTGACAGAGGTGCATCATTTTGATAATCACATCTCTAGGATAGCAACGTCCAAGAGGATTGTGAGGGTGGCAAAGCATGAGTGCTTTGACTTTCCGGTTTGTTGTCTGCTGAAAGGCCAACAAAGCCTCCTCGTATCTGTCAACTGCCTCGATGCTGAATGGATCGCAGTCTCCAAAGTTGACAGAAATGACAGTAGCACCAGGTCGCAACGACATATCTGGTATGAAAGTGCCGTAGTATGGCTTCCCTAAGAGAATTCCTTCGCCGGGGTCTGTGAATGCCCACGAGACGTGCTCGATTGCGGAAGAGACTCCGTTCGTGACGATGAGATGCCTAGGATTTAAGGGGATCGCAGGATGTAGATATCGGTTGAGGAACTGGGATAAAGCTCGCTTCAGTCTCAAAGATCCTGATCCTCCATCGTTGTATGTCAGGTATTTGGCCGGCAGGTCAAGCTTCGTGTTGATGAAACTCAAGAACTGGTCGTGCATGAGGACATTCTCTGCCACGCCAACATTGACGTACCCATCTGGGTTAGTCAATGGACACCACAAATTGTTCAGCACGTCCCACATGAGGTTCTTGGACCCTGCTGTAGACGCATCCTGTGCCCGACGAGACAGAATAGTGTCAGTCGGCTGCGTCATATTGTTGTTGTCAATAAGAGGAGTTCGACAAGAAAGCCAAAGAAATTGAGAGCGGAAAATAGTGAAGGAAAATGAGAGGACTCTCCGTTGTTGATATGGCAACTGAATTTGCATGTTATATACCTATACCCCTCGGTTATTCCCGGACAACATGAATTACACGGGGCAAAACTCAATATTGGAAAGAGCTGGCAACTTAACGTACCCCTGGAAACTAAAGAACCGAAAGTGTAATAGTTCGGCGTTTGAGCTCAATATCAATCACCGAAGGACGAGATAGACACTTTGATCGGCATCGTGTTTTATATGCTCTGATATAGTGATTGGGTGCTGGTAAATGCACATGTAACCTGGTAGTGTTTAGCCAATCGACTGCTCTCAATTGTCGACTTGCAAGTTGCGGCCCAAATATAACTAGTAGCGGCAAGCGTCTCGTAAAAGCAAGACTGGAAAACTGGAAGATGAAGACGCCAGCCTACGAGGCCTAGCCGACATCAAGTTTACGCAAGGGTCATCTAGGCCATGCGTTGCGTGAGTATTTCAAGATTGAAGACCCTTATGAATGCTTATACCTCTGAAAGGACAAACTGAAACGAAGCATGATTGCAGATATGCTACGTCATGTCATTTCTTTGCGTCATTTCTCGGAATATCCACCAATGGACTATGTTTTGAAGGAGCTTTCCAGTCGAAAGTTCCAATTGACGCCCTCTCTAGTTAACTTAGTGAATGGGGGTATACGTGCACTACATGCCAAGAAACCTAGTCCGAAATGGGTGAGCGGGAACGACACTCCAGAAGAGCCATGTGAATTGGACGCTCGTCGAGGAGCTGGCTTCTCAATAATTCCCGTGAACTGTTTCATTTTGACCCGATTTCCTAAGTGCCTTGGGTATGGTATCATCTATACGTACTCTAAGACAAGCTCTCTTGAAAGGATTTCTGTATGTAAGGTGCTGCCGAGCTTACCCCAATTTGGAGACAGCTGCCACCTCTTGATATCTACT